TTTTTGAAATTTGGTAACTTACTCTGTTGGTTTTGGTTCTCCATCGAGAACATCGACGAGTTCGTATCGTCCTGAATCAACTTCTTTTATTTTTAACCTAAAAGTATCTTCTTCAAGGCCGGAAAGAGTGAGGACCAAATCGGTACCATCATTATTAGATTTGAGAGTTGCAGTAAGTGTGTTTCCATCAGTAGTAATACTATCTGGGTCTACCAAATAGTCGTTTGACGGTTCTCTTGTTCTCAAATTACTAGTATTTTTTAAAACAATAGTGTGATATGTAGATGATTTTACTTACGCACAAAAATCAATCCTGCTACAGTTTTTATATGTGTTATGGTCGGCACCAAAACACTGAACTAATAAAACTGTTACCAACACTAGTCTATAACAGTGTGAAATAATTCAAGATTGTTTTCTTATTGCATTTCACTTACCTGACCAACATTGTCGGCAATATCTTCTAACGAAATTATCAAAGATTCTTTCTTAAATAGGTGGCAAATGGGATTAAAATATTTATCAACAATATCTAATTAAGGATTTGAGATAATCTTCGAAATAAACACTTTGTGGATGAGATTGTTTATCGCTGTTGCCATACGAATCTTTCACAATAATTTTTCCATTTTTCACCAGAATACTTCAGTTAAGACTTTTTGATAAACATTATTTAGGTCAAGAAATTTTTTTTTGACATCAAAACTGTTATTTAAGTTAGTTTGGAGGTAAATAGGCTAAAAGTCATTGGTCTTCCGACATGAACAGGACTCTTGGGACTTGGGGGCACCGTTTTGTGCTTCTTCGCTTATAAGCAGAAAACGGTATGCATTACAAAAAAAATACTTATGTGTAGGTATACGTACAAAATTAAAGCTTATAAAATATTATCATGGGGTTTTTTGTATTTCAAATGGTTTTTGAGATATTCGTAGTGTATTCGTTAGCAAACATCCCTTCGAAAAAAAACATTAATGAATTAGCGTAAGGATTATTGAAAAAGTTGTCAGCATTGTGATTGGGCCGTTTAAGATCGGCCATTATAATAATGTAAGAAGCCAATCACTTTGATTTTTGGATTCATTTAAAAATGTAATGCAATGATGTGATTGGCCCGTTGGAGGTCGGCCATTATAATTACATGATGAGCCAATTACAGTAGAATTGATTCAAAAATGTGGCAAAGTTTATTAATTTGGTTTGCATTTATTCTGATTATTAAGATTGAGATAAATGTTAACATCGTTAAAAACAGTTTTAGAATCGCCTAAAGTCTAATTTTAATTTTGAATTTGAAGCAAATGTGTAACTCGAGCCACTTCCATTACGTAATGCCATCCAAAAGCACGTGTCTTCACTCACTTCCCGGTCAATCATTTCAAAGTTGGAATGTTTCAGCTCGCATAAAACCTCCTCAAGTCGAAATTTTCATAAAATGGCACATTGTTTGCGCCACATTACCAACAAATTTGTCTCAATAACATCAATTATCACTCCTAGAAGTCATGTCATCAAATATGAAAAACCTAACCTTTCCAACAAGGACTATTTAACCGAACAGGTGAGTCCCGGGAGCCCCCTTCATTCTTACTTGCTTAAAACAACGCGAAATTTGTAAATTGAAACGAAAAAACGTGCAATTGTCAATTTACTAAACCTAACCTCAAAAATGACATTTTCCTCCCAATTTTAGTATTCAACGCAAGCGAAATATGAGTCGAGTCAAGAAACCGAGGAGTTTATTCCAAAGGCTTCGTTTATCAAAGTTGGGGATAACAGGGAGTGTTCCAGTGATATTGTCACGAGGGAGAATATATTTAACGTTGAAGATTTTAGACGGCACTTAATTAATTCCAGTTTGAAGTAATTCTTATTGGTTTTGTTGCGATTTTTACTCAGTGCTTGTTGCAGGTTTAGTGTAATTAATTGTGTCTCTAATGAGAGTCAGGTTTCATTTAGTGACACTCCTGAGCCACCAGCAAATAAACCCCCACCAGAGAAACTCAGCCGTGTTTACGACGTTTTGATGAATACTCTTCCACATCTTTTTACCCAAACCATGGATTACAGCATATATCATCCTGAGTTGGTGTTTGAAAATAACATCAGGGGAATCACCACAGTGTATGCATTTTTTGACAAGTTTTGTACAAAAATAACAAAGTGTTTCAGCGGTTTATATCACTATGTTAAGCAAATAGCGCTACTTAGGACAGTTGGTCACTTAAGGTTTGCATATGTCAAACTTGAGGTCCTCAAAATTACCAAACATCCTGAAGACTCGACTGTGAAAGTCAGATGGCGCATTAGGGGGATTTCCGCATTGAAAGTCATGTTTACATTTTGGAAATATAAACTGTGGAATTTTAGTGAGATTTATGATAAAACAGAAGCGTAATTTTCTTATTTTTTTTCTTATACTCAGTTTATTGATAATTTTTCTAGGTGGTACGATGGTTTTTCAACGTTTTACGTCAACGCTGACGGCGAGGTGTACAAACATGTCGCTGATAAGGTATTAAAAAAAAATAATTAAACTTTTAATCACTGTGTGTGTGCAGATGATGCCCGATTCAGATTCTGTTAACGAAAAAACATCAGACTCCACCGCATTACCAACCGCAAAGTTGGCTTTAATAACTGGGTTGATACCAAAATGTGCAGATATTTATTCCATTACTTGAACCCAAAATTAGGTTAGTTGAGTCCTGTATTTATTTATAAATTAAGTATTATTTTGTTATTAAAGCGACTATTTTATATTTGGATCACCGCTTCGCTTGTCCCTAGAATGTTATGTGTTAATAAAAATCTTTAAGGCATTTTTGTTTTTCTACGATTTGAAAATCCCGCCAGGTATTCAAGTTTTAACAGCGTCATCTGCAACTTGAATTTTTTTTAATAAAAAAAAATAGATAATAAAACTGATCTAAGTGAATTATAATTATTTGCTTAATTATTATTTGTGATTAGTTGTTATTCTCATGCGGAAACGAAATTTATTTAATGAAAAGTGTAGGGATTTTTCTGTCTTATTTTTGATAAGTTGGTAGTTGAATCAACAATTGTCGAAAGTGTCGAAATCACTATGGTGCTAAAATTACCAAATTAATAATTATTTAAAAAAAATAGTTTCAACGTCTTAAATACCAAAAATGTAAGTAAACCACGTGCAAATTTAAAATTTGTTGTTTGTGTTACGCCCACTTTTCGTTTTTAGGAATACGGGCCACTATAATTCCCAAATTTCCATTTTTCTGTGATAAAAACATCCCACTGTGAAGAAGATGAGTGATCAATATTACTACAACTCAAATTATCCCCCTTATGCCAACTACCCGCCAAATTACCCTTCACCCGACCCCCAATGGAACAACTGGCAATGGAACCAAGCGTACCCCCCCATGATGCCTCCTTACCCTCCCCCCGTCAATTTCAACGTTCCTCCACCCCCCATGGGCCACTACAACTACTATCCTCCCTATCCTCAACAAGACAAGTCTCAAAAACGCTACGAAGACAGACCTAGTGATTATAGACATGAACTTGAAACATATAAGCAAAGAAAGGCAAGTCATGAAAAGTACAATCAACGGTCGCGGTCCCCAAAACGTAGATCTCGATCTCCCAGATATTCGCGTTACAGGAAACGTAGTCGTAGTCGTAGTCGCAGTCGCAGTCGCCCCCACGAGAAGCCAATCAAGGAACGCGACTTGATTTTATCAAAGTGGCGGAAAAATTATTGTTCAACACGTGAGGAAGTCTCGAATAAGATTCACGAGTTGTCTAAAGTGGACCATGAAGAGGCTTTAGAACAGGAGAAAAATATTTGGACAAGGTCCACACCTTCAGACTTGTATTACAGAAAGGATGAGAACAATGCGAGAATCACGAAGGCTACGAAACGATTAACACAAGTTTGTGATAAATTTAACGATAATTTGGTTCTGAGAGCCGCAAAGATTAACAAATTGAAGCCAAAATATGAGCCTCCGCCGAGGAAAAACCGGGCCAGGTTGTGCAAACATAAATGTGAGTGGAAACTATTTTGGTTATTTTTCCTAACTGGAAGTTTCAGCTGAAGAATCGAGCTCGTCGGGAAGCTCTGAAGAAGAGCTCACTGATGAAGAGGACTGCACTATGGAAGAGCTTCAAAGGAAACAACAACACCCGGATCGACTCCACCCGGAAATGTGGTATAATGATCCCGGGGAAATGAACGACGGGCCTCTTTGTCGGTGTTCCATTAAATCCCGGAAATCGGGAATTCGACACGGGATATATCCCGGAGAAAAACACCTAGAAAAATGTGTTCCTGATAGCAACAATGCTGATCGTCTTTACCACTATCGTATAACAATCTCACCCCCTACTAACTTTTTAATCAAGACGCCAACAATTATTCATTATGATGAGCACGAGTTCATTTTCGAGGGTTTTTCCATGTTTTCCCATTTTCCCCTGGAAAAACTTCCTACGTGTAAAGTAATCCGGTTTAATATCGAGTACACAATCTTGTATATTGAGGAGAAAATCCCGGACAATTTCACAGTGAGAGAGTTGGATTTGTTTCGTGAGTTTCTTACTGTTATTTGAGTTTTTTGTCAATTTTTACTTTTGTAGATGATTATTTGTTTAAAGAAATTTTAGAATTGGTTGATTTGGATTTTAAAGCTGCTGGTGATGTTGAAGGGTGTTCTCAGTTTCATTTTATGCCGAGGTTTGTTCGCGAATTGCCCGATAATGGGAAAGAAATTTTGGCAATGAATGAGGTGCTACAGTACCTTTTGGATAGTTCTGTGTCGCTGATAGAGGAGAAGGATTTGGAGGATATGATCAAGATGACTCAGTATGAGTGGCAGAGCTATGCTGATGAAATTAAGGTAACAAATTTTAATTCCGACCACAAATATAAAAATAATTATGTATCGTTTTTTAAAAATGTAGATCTTTTGTTTCTATGTAGATATAATGAAATGAGGAATTCAGGAGTACAAGAAATTTTACTTTTTGGTTGATCTAATAATTATTTGAATGAATTTAATAATAAAAAAAATATTTTATTTATTGTATGGTCAAATTCTTTCTTCACATTTTTACTTTCCTTATTCTATAAGGAAAGTATTGTAATTGGCTGAAATTTGACCTACCTATATTTTTACATTTCTGGACGAATTATAGACACCAAAAAAGTTGGTTTGGGCCATTGGGTCGTGTGTGTGTGTTTGTCTGTAAACAGCACATCTCGAGAACGATAAAAGCAAGAAACTTGAAATTTGGTATGTAAGTTACTTGTAGGTAGGGGACGCAACACGAAACAATTGGTAAAAATCGGTCGCACCGTTCGGTCGTAAAGACCAAAAATTGGCCGTAAAATTATATGGTTGATGATACAATAAATTCATGGGAATAAAAATTATTTAGAATCATGAATTATACCTTATTAAACAGTAAAATGTGATAAAATAAAAAAAATAAAGGGTTTCCCAATAAGGACGATATCTTTTTAAAATTAATTAAAATACAAATGTTTCGAAATTAAAGTAAAACTTTTTATTAATTTTAATGTACAATCTATTACAATTAGGTTTTGAACAACACATCATTCAAATGTCCACCTCGGCTGTGTTTGCAGGATATAAGTCAGGTGTAACTTCATGAATGCAGCGTTCGATGTTCAGTTTTAAATCCTCTCGGGTTTGAAGTTTGTTGGCATAGACCAACGACTTCAAATATACTCACAAAAAGAAATCGAGAGGTGTTAAATCAACTTCTTGGAGGCCAATTGACAGATCCATTTTTGGAGATTATCGACTCACCAAACTTTTCTCTCAATAACTCCATAGTGGCACTCGCACCATCTTGTTGAAAAAACATGCCCTGCCAATCAATTTCATCCAATTTTGGTCACAAAAAATCTGTTAACATTGATCGATAACGATCACCAGCCACTGTTACTGGATCTCCATTTGCATTTTCAAAAAAATAAGGCCCGATCATGCCACCATGCCATAAACCACACCAAACAGTAACTTTTTCTGGATGCAAAGACTTTTCATGAATCTGTTGTGGATTTTTTTCACACCAAAAACGACAGTTTTGTTTGTTAACAAAGCCGTTTAATCAAAAATGAGCTTCATCTGAAAAGATGATTTTTTTGAAAAAATTAGGATCAATTTCAAGTTGCTCTAGAGCCCAATCAGCAAACACACGACGCTTATAATGGTCAAGAYGTTTCAATTCTTGAGTCAARACAATCTTATAGGGATGTAAACCCAAATCTTTTTTKAAAATACGCCAAGTTGTCATTCTTGAAAGGCCAAGTTCTTGAGAACGTCGATTAATCGACAGATTTGCATCTTCTGTAACACTGGCACTTACAGCATCAATATTCTCTTTGTTTCTTGCGTTTCGGTGTCTTATTGGTGTTTTGGTATCGTGTACAGTTAAATTTGTTTCGAATTTTTCAACGATTCGGCGAATAGCAAGCACAGAAGGATCCTTATGTGGACCATAATTTTCACGTAGACTACGTTGAGTTTGAACATAGGAACGATTATTTTCATAACATTTTTGGATAATAACCAAACGTTGATGAAGCGTGTATTTTGCCATGATAAATTGTCATACTATACTTAACACTAACTAATGACAACTAGTGACATTTCTACCATTTTAAATATGGTTGCTAAGACGTTTTTAAAACATATCATCCTTATTGGGAAACCCTTTAATAATAATGGGTACCGAACTATAAAAAAAAATGCACCTCAGATTCGAACCCGCGACAACGTTAGGTTTGCTACTCGGATTTTCAACACTAAATTATTGTCGTAAGCATGTTTTCCAAATAAGTAGGATAAGGAAAGTCGTGTGATGTTCACACCAGATTTTTAAATAATAATAATAATAAATAAAAAATCTCTGAAAAACTTAAAAAAATAACAAAACATTAACTGACTACAAAACTAAAAATACAGAATCGTTTCAATATACGTGGTAACGAAATTAAGTAAAAGTGATAGTTTATGTGGCGAAGCTAAACGTTTATTTTTCGAACGTAGTGGGGCAAATAATTCAGCTGGGTCACATAAATTCACTTTTGCTTCGAATAACATATATATTTTATCTGCAAACGTATTCAGATCGAGAGTAAAGGCAACACTTAATTAGCAAGTAAACGAACAAGATAATCAGGACGCTTTGTAAGTAATAAAATCGTAAGAACGTTTATAAACAAACATCACGCGTTAGTATCGGAATTTTCGGATTTTCGAAAGTGTACTCGTATAAAAGTCCAGTTAGTAGTGCAAAATATCGAATGCTGATTATCTACTGTTTATCTCTCCAAGTGGTAAATGTCAATGTCATGGTAAAAAAAAAACTTAAGCGAAAAAAAACATGGAGGGAGAAATATTTAAGTAGTTGTGCACAAATTAAATTAAATTCTCTTCGATGATTTTTTTGCTGACGTTTTTTTAGTTAATTTTTTTTTAATTAAATCAAAAACCAGAACTGCCAACTTCTTTTATTAAAATTACCATGAATGAATTTGTTAGTATTACCAACGATAAGACTGTTTGACATTTTCATTTAAAGAAAAAACAGACTACAAATTGAATTTTCTTGTAACTGCAGGTGCGCCAGAACCATCAAAGCGTGGATTTTTCCACCTTCCCAAGACTTCCACAACCATCGGGGGGTGTAGAACAGAATCGCCGGAAATCATTCATCTATTTAACAAGATTTTTATTGCATGCGCCCCAGAGAAAAATTTCAAGCAAGATAAGAAAGATACCAGGAACATGGAAAAATTGTTTAAAAAATTCTCTTTCATAAAATTATGACATTTATTTTTTGACATTTGACATTTTTTATGTCTGTTTAATGATACTAGTGATCTTGTATATGTTTTTTTACAGTCATTTTGTAAAGGTACAATAATTTTGCCAATAAAAGCTACAAATAACATTAAACAGGGTTATACAATTTAGGATATACTCGTAGCTTCCTTGTTTCCTCCTCTAATAGCTTGTAGAAAACTATTTTTCCAACAGAAATAAATAGAGTCAAAGTGCAAAATTTAAACTCTTATAACTTCGAAATTTTTATAGATAAAACTTATTAACATTTTTTCCATGTTCCTGGTATCTTACCTTATATGGCATTTTTCTCTTGAGCGTGAGTTCTGGCGCATCCTGTATAGTTGAACTAAAAATTGTGTTTATAAAAATTAGACGTAAATTTTTTTTTTTAATTTTTATCACAAAAATTATTTTTTTTTGGTTGATATCGTTAATCATTTGTTAATAAAAATAATTATTAGAAACTTTTTTTTTAAAGAATTAAATTTTAAAATTATTAACTTCACAATAATCAAGAATTAAAAATAACGAGTCCATACAATGAATAAGTGACATGAAAATTCATTTAGTGTTATTAATACAAAAATAGATAAACACAAAATTTTAATTAGTTATGTTAAATACGTGTACGCAGGAATAATTTTTTACTAATATTTTAAAATACGTAAAATGAACAATTTTGCACGTTTTAAATGTTGCAAACTAAAAAAAAAATAAAATGTATTACATAATTAGCTTAAAAAATTGTCTGTTGTTTATTTATATGATTATTTAATTTAAATTTTACCGTATTTTCAAGCTACATCAGCTTTTGCCAAACTTTTTTGTTCGCCGACCAGAACTTTTTTATTTTTTTACCAGGGACCTCATTTTTTGTTAAAAAAAACATTTTTTTATTAAGTACCAAGTTTAATTTTTTACAAATGGGTTATTAAAAAGTAGCGTAATTTATTTTAAAAAGACTTTTAAAGTTGCACATTTCAATATGAATTTAAATAATCTAGTCAAGATAATAATTTATTTAATTTTAATTTCTCTGAGGAGGGTTTTTTCTGTAGGCACGTACTGGGCTGCGTGCCACAGGTTGGGAAATGCTGGTCTAAATAATAATTAAAAAATAACTCGACGTTAACTCAATTACTGCCAGTTTCATAATCGAATTAACGAGTCTTTAAAGTTAAGATTAGTTTAGAATATGCTGATTCTACAGACTTGTTGGCCAAAATTTCACATTCTAAACCAACATGAATTTTAAAGTCTCTTTAATTGGATTATGGAACTGGCCCTTACTAGCAGTTAATTAAATTTTAAATATTTATTCTGAAGGTATGAATGTAGAATAAGCAATTTTGTATACGTTGATTTATAATTAATTTAAATAAAAAATAAAACTAAAAAAATTAAAATTCTGTTTTGTAGGGAATGGTGGTAACCTACCCTGGCAAAAAGCCCTGTTCAGTCCGCGTGGACCAACTTGACCGCAACATCGACCTCCAAAAACCCGGGGACTACAAATTCCCCGAAATTGTCCATTTTGGCATCCGCCCACCTCAGCTAAGTTACGCCGGTAACCCCGAGTATGCTCGATTCCGTCCACACAACCTTTCAAAAATGCAAAAATTCTATTTTCAGTTATCAGAAAGCTTGGCGCGATTACGTCAAATTCCGTCATCTGTTGGCTAACATGTCAAAACCGACATTTGAAGACAAACGCAAATTGGAATCCAAAGAAAATAAACTGCAAGAAATGCGAACCCAAGGCAAAATGAAACGCGACATTACAGTTGCGGTGTCTGCTGAGGGATTTTACCGAACTGGGATTATGTGCGATATAATCCAGCATGCCATGCTCATCCCGGTTCTCGTGTGCCATTTGAGATTCCACCATTCCCTCAACATCCTCGAAGAGTCTGTTAATTATAAGTTTAAGAATCGGGCGTTGTTGCAGTTGGCTTTGACGCATCCCTCCTATCGGGAGAATTTCGGGACGAATCCCGATCATGCACGGAATTCCCTCACGAATTGTGGGATTCGACAGCCGGAATATGGCGATAGGAGAATTCATTATATGAATACGAGGAAACGTGGGATTAATACGTTGATTAATATCATGTCGAGGTTTGGTAAACAGCAAGAAACCGAATCGAATATTACTCATAATGAGAGGTTGGAGTTTTTGGGAGATGCGGTAGTGGAGTTTTTGAGTTCGATTCATTTGTTTTACACGTTTCCGGATTTGGAAGAAGGTGGCTTGGCAACGTATAGAGCGGCGATTGTTCAAAATCAACATTTGGCCGTTTTGGCCAAAACTTTGAAGTTAGATCAGTTTATGTTGTATGCGCATGGATCGGATTTGTGTCATGATTTGGAGTTGAGGCATGCGATGGCGAATTGTTTTGAGGCCTTGATGGGGGCGCTGTTTCTAGATGGAGGGATAAATGTAAGTAGTGGAGGTAACGAAGTTTAAAATTGTGATATAACAAAAAATCGCCTTATGTTTTCACATATTTATGTGTTTAAAAACAGCTTTTTGTGCTCACTATTTTGTTAGTTTTAATTTTAGCTTAGGAAAAACTAAGATTATTACAGAAAGTAGATGAAATCATTCAATATTTTTATAATTTTTCTCAGCACTAGATTAATATCTAAGGAACCTTAAAGTTGCTAAATATAAACAGGAAAACAAAAAATGTAAAAGAAAGCAAATTGCTCGAATTCCGTTTTTGTGTAAGATTTTAATAAAATTTAATAAAAAAATATCAAATTATGTTTCAAATTTAGTTTTAAGTCTATTTTACGAATTTATTATTTTTAATATTATTTCATTCTTAGTTATCAAAAATTCTTCTTTCACATTTGTTTTATTTATTTTTCGTATTAAAAAAAATATTATTCTACGACCCTAACAGAAAATTAGCTTTTCGATCCTAATTTTAGAAAGTAAAGTAGCCAACTACCTCCCTAGGAGGTAAAAATTTTCCTCGCACATCTGCCAAAAGTATATGAAATATATAATGTGTTTTGTAAATAATAGACCAAAAAAATGACAAGATAAGATACCAGGAACATTAAAAATATGTTTAAAAAAATCTATCTGGCAACAATGTTTGACATTTATTTTTTGAAAATTGACTTTTTTTGTCTGTTGTTACCGATGATCTTGTATAGGTATGTTTTTTCATAATTATTCAGTAAAAGTACAAAAACTTTGTCAATATAAGCTCAAATAACGTTAAACATAGTTACAATTCAGGATACAGCTTCTTTGTTTCCTCTTTTAACAATCTGTAGCAAAAGAACATGTAATTTTTTTTTCAAACAGAAATAGAGTCAAAGTGCTAAATTTAAACTCTCATAACTTCAAAATTTTTATAGATACCTAAATTTTTTATTTTTTTTTTAATGTTCCTGGTATTTTATCCTTACCATTTTTTTGTTGGTTTATTTACAAAACACCTCTTAGGGAAATTGAAGTTTTTCTTGGTGGATCGTAAGAAAAATTATATGTATACACTGGAGGAAAGTTTGTTCCTCCCTGGGTGGGTCCTCCTCCAAAAGAAGAAAAGATACATTTTCCTCCCTTGTAATACAAATACAAATTACAAATTTGTAATACAAATAACTATTAAACAAAGTATAATTAAATCATGCCTTTGGTTGTGTTTTACTAAAAAAAATTGGTTACAAATAAAAACCTCGAATTTCATTTTTCAGAACAATTTTTTTATTGTTTTAAAAAAGTAAGAAACAATGAACTAAAACTATTATTTCGTATTCAGACTAAAAATACCGGAACCTTAAATAAATGTCATTAAATATTTTTTCGAACATGAAAACATAAACTTATCTGTGGCTACCCCAAATTGTAGGATATAATTGATTCCCATGGGAGTGAATTTTTCAGTTTTGCTTCTCTTCTTTTTTCTCAAAAACTTCTTTGTCTGAAATTGTCTTTAGTGTTAGAAAAAATTATATGTATTATACGAAACATAAGGAAGAAAATATAGGTATTTCTTTCCTTTGAGTACTTGTACTCCTCTTCGGCTCGTGAAATAAAGAGCACTGTCGGGAAGAAAAAAATATTTCCTATTAATAAAAAATAGACAAAAGTGTTTTAATATTGTCAATATTTAATTTTTTATATTTTTATATTACAAATAAATGTTTCTTTGTTTATATCGTCAGAGGTAAAGAAAATTGTGTGTATTGTTTATAATAAATTTATTTCGCTAAAAAACAAACAAGAAAACAGAAAAAGTAAAAGACCCTAAAAATCTAAATCTACTGTTTGTATTATTTTATTTTTTCAATTTTAGGTAGTGGATCGAGTCTTTTCCGAAACCCTCTTCAAAGTCAACCCCGACTTGCTTGAGGTGTGGATGAACCTCCCCCCGCACCCCTTGCAAGAACAAGAACCCACCGGCGACAGAGAATGGATTCCAAAATTTGAACTTTTGCAAAATTTGACAAAATTCGAAGAAAGTGTTGGCTTACAATTTAATCACATTCGTCTCTTGGCACGTGCTTTCACCGATCGAAGTGTCGGTTACACTAACCTAACCCTCGGTTCGAACCAACGGTTGGAATTCCTCGGAGATACAGTTTTGCAACTCATTGCATCGGAATACTTGTATAAGTATTTCCCGGAACATCACGAGGGGCACTTATCGGTAGTAAACCCAGCCTTAAGAGTATCATTTGTCACTTACGGAATTTTTCTAGTTGTTACGCAGCTCTTTGGTTAATAACCGCACTCAGGCCGTTGTTTGTGACGATTTAGGAATGTCAAATTACGCCGTTTATAATAATCCGAAAGCCGAATTAAAAACGAAAGATCGAGCCGATTTACTCGAAGCCTTTATTGGGGCCCTGTATGTTGACCAAGGCTTGGAATTTTGCGAAGTTTTCTGTCAAGTGACCCTGTTTCCGCGCCTCCAGGACTTTATAATGAACCAAGACTGGAACGACCCCAAATCTAAGCTCCAACAATGCTGTCTGACCTTGAGAACCATGGATGGGGGCGAACCGGATATTCCGGTTTATAAGTCGGTCATTAGATTCGCTAACGATTTAATATGACTGGTTGCAATTACAGGGTGATTGAGTGTAAAGGCCCCACCAACACGCGGGTGTATACAGTGGCGGTATATTTCCGGGGGCGGCGTCTTGCTAGTGCAATGGGACACAGTATCCAACAAGCCGAAATGAATGCGGCGAAGAAGGCGTTAGAAATTTCGCAAGGTACAGTGAGAGGATTAATGAAGTGAAAATTTATTTTGGTCTTGTAGATTTGTTTCCACAGTTGGATCATCAAAAGCGAGTCATTGCGAAAAGCATGAAGAAGCAGAAGAATAAAAAGAGGAGGAGGAGTAGGTCGAGGTCAAGTTTAAAGTTTGGGTTTAGGACACGCTCGCCGGAGAGTTACTCGAGGAGGCGGTTTCAGAGGTCAAGGTCGAGGTCAAAGGTAACGAGCGAGAGTGATAGCTCACCGAGGTGTAGTACTAATAATGCTAGGGCGTATTTATCGACTGATGATTTAAGTGATTAGCTACATTTTTGTGATAGGATTTAAGTATCTCAGGTCCGTTTTTTAATTAGTTTGAAAGCTTTTATTCCGGTTTTATCTAACGAAGCAACTTACTTGGGTGTATGAATTTGTGTATTAATTTGAGTAATTTTAAATAGACGGATATCATAATTTTATTGCTTTGTTATTGCTCCCTTGAGGCCCAATTTTCTTTATTAATCCACTCATATTATAAAAAGTAAGTTATTACTACTAGTAAGTAGAAAAACAAGATGGAACGTTACCATAAAACTTCCCAATTTTGCAGTGACAACTACAAGTTTTAAATCAGTTTTTAATAATAATAATGTTATTATTATAAATCAGTTTTTGCTTGTACAAAGTTTATTGTGGTACAAAGAAAAAATTCAAGGTAATGAAAAAATATTCTAATATAATTCTTACTGTAAATCATTGGTTGGTCGCTAAGAATTTTAAGTGAATCTTACATTTTAATTACTAAGTATGGAAAAAAAACATCGCTACAAAATTTCTATCCTATTCTGAACTGTTATTATTAACAGGGGCATCTTGGGACTGTTAAATTTGAAAATTGAATTAAAAACGTAAAAAACATTTCTGATTAGTAAGAGAAGAGTGTCGGTCAATTCATAGTGGCCATTTATTTTATTGCAAAGTTGGCAGCTCCTAGCCCGCCACCTCTAGTGTGTCTATGCTGATAGCAGAAGTAACTAAATTGTATCAGCAATTGTGACAGGTGTAGTAGATTTTTTTATGTGTGAAATATTCTAACCCGACTTTTTCAGAATTGTCATTTTTGATAGATATGTCCCTAAAAAACAAATGGATGTTGGATTAGTTACGTTGCTAGAGTTTGTTCTAAATCTGGTGGCGAACCGACGTTGTCAAAAATGACTGAATTTTGACACTAAACATATGTTTACCATTAAAAAAAATATTGTTCATAGGCGTCGTATGAAATAATATTTCAAAACCACTGTTATTCTTTAAAAAATTATAATAAGTAGGTACTCATACATAAGATGAAGAATGATGAACAAATTATTAAATTGTTAATGCATTAAAAGAATTTTCAAAAATGATATTCCTAACAATCCTTGTCTTCAAAATTTTTAGAGAAAAAAAGTACGCCCATGTATTTTTTTATCTTAACCAAGTGGGCGCACTCCAGGTGTCTTTTCTGTCACTGTCAGTTCGCCACCAGATATGGAATAAGCTTTAATAACAATTGTCCTGTTAGTCAAGGGCTGAAGTTAGCTTTTAGTTTTTAATATTTAATTTAAGTAATTTTTTTAGTGGTGGTCATAGAAAAAGTATCATATGTAACACGTGTTTAAACTCCTCTAGAAATTCGTTTTATTAAACACTCGCTCCGCAGCACTTCGCTCATACCTAATAAAACTCATGTCTAAAGTGGTTACTAGATACATAAGATACTATTAAAAAAAAAAAAATATGAAGTAGATAGAAAAATGGTTTTATAGTGGGTTGCCATTTAAAAAATATATATTTTTTTGTAGAACTCAAAAACAAAATATTCGAAGAATTGTATTCTTAACATCACATTTTTTGCGCGATTAGACTTTATTCGATTGTTTACTAAGTCTGTTTCCAAGACAGTACGTTGTATTTACTCGAACTAAGACCTCTTCCAACAGAAATAAATAGAATCAAAGTGTAAAATTTACACTCTCATAACTTTTAAATGGTATCTTACCTTACATGCCAGAACTCGCGCCCCAGAGAAAATTTTCAAGTAAGGTATGATACCAGGAACATGAAAAAAATGTTAAAAAAATTCTATCTGTCAAAAAATGTTGACATTTATTTTTTGACATTTGACATTTTTTTATATCTATTTAGGGATACTGATGATCTTGTATATGTTTTTTTACAATCATTTAGTAAAGGGACAAAAATTATGCCAATAAAAGCCACAAATAACATTGAACATATAGTTACAATTTAGGATACAGCTTCCTTGTTTCCTCTTTTAATAGCCTATAGTAAAAAAACTTGGAAAATTATTTTTCCAATAGAAATAAATAGAGTCAAAGTGCAAACTTTAAACCCTCATAACTTCAAAATTTTTATAGATACAATTTTTTAAACATTTTTTCCATGTTCCTGGTATCTTACCTTAAATGGCATTTTTCTCTGGGGCGCGAGTTCTGGCGCAGCCTGTATAGTACTTTATAATTCCTTTTTTTTTTTCAAAAAATAAATATTCTAAGCAAAAAATATTTGGTTCCATACTTTTTATTCACCTGTAGTTGTTCATCTTCTATCCATACAGAAATTATATGAAATAAAGGTGTAATAGCATCCTAAGATATTTACATTATTTTTAATATCGCAGTTATGAATATACGGAAGAAAATATAATAAAAAACTAACTCGATTGAAATTCTGTTTACGGCAGAATGGTTCTGTTCTACGCCACTGCTCAAGTTCCCCTACTACACCGAGTACGTATTGGCTCCGCCTATGGTGTCCTTTTCCAAGTTCTCGAGCTCTAACATGTTGGAAAAAAGTGAGGTTACGTGAAATTTGCAGTTTCAAAATGCTGACGCTTCAGTGGCTCTATGTCACTCAATTGCGCCCCCTTAGTTACAAACGTATCATCTCTTGGTACAGTGGTTTAGTCAAGGCGAAGCCCCCCGAAGCCCCTTTCAATCATGTGGTCCAAATTGGGGACCCCACATTGAGAACAGTCTCAGATGAGGTTCCACGAGACTTAATAAAATCACCCGAGATTAAATTTTTAATAAATAGGATGAAAAACGTCATGAAAAAACACAATTCAGTCGGGTTATCGGCCCCCCAAGTGGGTATGCCCCTCCAGTTGTTCCTAATTGAATTCAACAAGAAACATTTGAATGATTACAGCCCCCAAGAACAGAAAGTTAAAGAAATGAAAGTTGTCCCTTTTCAGGTGAGGTAATGTTCTCATTTAGGGAACTTGTGTGATGGAAATAATGTTCCAGGTTGTATTCAACCCCCATATAAAAATTACAGACTATACCAAATTAAATTTTGTGGAGAGTTGCACAAGTGTTAAAGGTTTTCATGCCGAAGTGCCGCGTTACAGAAGTTTAAAACTTGTAGCATTTGATGAAGAAAATCAAGAATTTGAAATGGAATTGAGCGGATGGCCTGCAAGGATTGTCCAACATGAAGTGGACCACCTCAATGGCAAAATATACACTGATTTAATGAACAGGAAAAGTCTGGCGTGCAGTTGCTGGCAAGAAATTAACGAGCGAGGTGGCAAAATTGAGCTGCCCTATGGCCCCCAGTAGTACTCACCTTGGAGACTGTTCTTGAATCACTTGGGTGGGCTTAGTGCTGATTTTTAATAAAATATTGCCTATTATTGTTACGAACGAAAGTTGTTTATTGAGGTTATTCGTGAAAATTTTTACATTTTGTCCATAAAATGGGGCGAACCGTCGGAGTTGCGTCGTCTCGTGAGTATTTCACAGCCTGTTTCATTGACAAGTAGGGTGTGTTCAAACTGCGCTGACCATTGCCCATCTGCAGTGACAGCAGTCCACTTATCTGGCCACATTTCATCCCTCCAAGTCCCCATCGAAATCATGGGTTCAATAGTAAAGCAATGACCCGGCTTCATGACCCCCACAGCTCGATTTTCTGCAAAAAACTGGTCATTCAATGTTATCACAATTGTGTATTCTCTGACTTGCATAATGGGGCACATTGGGGGCTGTATGAAACAACCGATGAATCCCATGTCCACAGTAACTCCTCACCACTGAATACCCATGTGCTTGTGCGTGTTTCTGGATCACATTTCCGATTTCCCGGTACTTCTCCCCCGGCTTCACAATCGCGATGGCTTTCATAAGGCACTCATGTGTCACTTTGACTAAATTCTTATGCTTCTCGCTGACATTGCCCACGAAGAAGGTTTCGTTCAAGTCGCCGTGGAAGCCCCTGTGGTAGACTGTGATGTCCACATTGCACAAATCGCCGTCTTTAAGGGGCCTAGTGTCGGGGATTCCGTGACAAATCACCTCGTTGACGCTCGTGCAGCACGAAGCGGGAAATTCGTAGTAGTTCAAAGGCGAGGGGTAACAATCACGCTCAAGACACGCTTCGTGCACCACACGGTCGATCTCATCAGTGGTGACCCCCACGTCGCAGACCCTCGCGGCTTCGTCGAGCACCTCCCGACCGAGTTTACAAGCAACACGCATTCCTTCAATCTCCTCATCGTCGAGAATCTTAATCTGGCCGGAGCCTTTGACGGCTTGCTCGCTTAGAGGGAGGCCTGCCGGGTGCTCGGCGTAATCGGGCCGGCCGATTGAGGGGGGCACTGTACGTTTGGGGGTTTGCGGGAAGGGGCGCAGCTTACCGGTGAAGGTGTAGTAAGGCCAAGGATTGTAGGCGGTTTCTTTTATTCCATCAGGGTTTTCGCCCTCTGGAAAAGAAAAGACATGGGGGCTCTCATTTGATGTTGATTTTTACATCCGAAAAGTGAATGAGGGGAATTTGAATATGGCGAGTGGATGGCTTTACCTACCTAACCTTACTTACTGGCTAATGAATGGATGATTTTGTGGTTTTTCCAATTCGATTTGAAACATTCTTGGGAGCAGAAGAATGAACCTTGAATGCCTAGTTTTAGGCATGAGGGACACTGTAATTTCGCGCTGTTTTCACAACCGGGGGTTTCACAAATTCCTAAAGTGGACATTTTTTTGGTCTTGTCAAACACGAGAGGATTTTTCGGAAGTGGTTGAGGTTACAAATCAAATTTTTTTTTAGAATTACGTTAAATGCGAAAATCGATTATTGGTATAGACAACCAGTAATTTTTACGTTTTGTATAAAGCTCGAAAAGTTTTTTTTTTGATTTTGTACTCAATGTTAAAGAGTGCTTTTATCGACAAATTTCAGTAGATAAAGTGGTCTTTTATCGTCTAATGAAATAAAGTAATTTTTTTTTACTATTTATATTTTATTAACTAATCGTCTAGTGAAATAAAGTAATTTTTATCTACTGTTTATATTCAAGAGATTCTGGTAGGTGAGTACAAAATAAAACGGAATATTATACTTACACGTCGATAAACATTGTTTGTCTACTCGTGAAAAAAGTCCACTCGTGACTTCGTCACTCACCTACTAGAATTTCTGGAATATAAACAGTAGATAAAAATTACTTTATTTCACTACACGGTAAAAGACTACTTTATCTACTGAAATTAGTTGATAAAATCACTCTTTAACACTGAGTACAAAATAAAAGTATGGAACCAAGCGATTTTTTTATTTGCTTCCAGAAAGTAATATTTTTTTTGTCATAATGGCAATTTATGAGAAAATAATTTTTGATAAAAATTGAATATAAAGTAGATAGGTCTGTTGATAAATTTACAGCTACAGGTTTGTAAATAAGTCCTGAGATACATCTACAGCAACAAGTTTGTATAGATCTACAGGTAGATCCACAAGTACAGTCGTTTTCTTATTAATGTGCATCAAAGTAGTCGTTGAAAAGGATCATTTTAAGTTGGCGACCATGCGAAAATTCAAACAATCTTACCCTCAATCCTCCCTAAAAATGTGTACCCCAGATTTTGAGAAAGCAAAAAATAAACAAAGCTAACAACGTAATTAGCGTAGGGAGGCAAACATAAAGATTTTTGTCATTATTGATATTTATTAAATTTGTTCTGAATGACATTGATGACACTATTTGTGTGAATTAAAGATGCATTTAGAATTCCACAATCTACTTGATGCACATTAATATGAATAAGAGTATACAGGTCTGTAGATAGACTTACAGCTATAGGTTTGGAGCTAGATCTATAGATAGATCTACAGATAGAGATCTGTACACGGACTTACAAATACAAGTCGGTAGATAGATCGACAGATAAATCTATAGCTACAGGTCTGTGGATAGATCTACAAATAGACCTCCAGCTATAGGTCTGTAGATCTTTGTACAGATAAACCTCCAACTAAGGATCTACAGATACACCTCTGTTTAACTTCATTTTTAGTAGTAAGTCTAACTTTATTTTTAGTACAAAATGGTACTTGGGGTCGTTAAACTATTGTTAGTCAACTTTTATAAAATTCTTTTAAAGTTCAGGTCAAAATTTTAACAATATACTTAATCGACGCATTTCTGCTGATTCAGACGAGTGATTCAGTTATTTTTTGTGTAGAGGTTTATTCTAAGTTGTCTAGTTTTTAAATTTCTTTAAAATCCGTTGTCGAATAACAGGGACATTAGACCAGAAAATCTAACGTGGGACATTCTGTATAGTATAATATACAGTGCGATCAAAAAGTTTTTCTATCATGAAGGCGTACTAGTTCAGAACATATTATCGTATCAACAAGAAATTACTCCCTAGGATTTAGGGATATTCGTCAATAAGTTGCCTTAAATTTGGTTAGGTTGGTTTGTGGTGACAAACAAAAGATTTTGTAACTAGTGTCAAAAATTTAGGTTAAGTGATCTGTCAGCTTGTATAGATAGTTGACAGTAGGTTGACAGAAAACATCAACCGTCAACAACAAGGGGTAACCAACCCTAGGCATTCAAAATTATTATACCTCTAAAAATTCTAGTTACAAACAACATGAAAAACGTAATTTTCCTAAAAATTCAAATCCTAGATTGTAATTTCTTGTTGACAAATCTTTACTAGTATGTCGTATGGCAGTTTGTATGTTAGCTAAATGTCAAAAAATTATTTTGAGAGAAAATGAGATGTTGTTGGTGTTTATTCATATATTCGCATTTATATTATTAGTAACTAGTCGTTGAAAGAAACTCTTTTAAGGTGGCAACTATGCAAAAATTCAAACAATTCTAACTTTAATCTTTCTTAAAAACTATTTTTTTTAAATAAATGTATACCCCAGGTAGCAAAAAATAATTAAAATTAACATGGGTAGCAAACTTAAAAATTTTCGTCATCAATATTGATCTGATTAAATTTGTTCTGAATGACATTAATAACACTTTTTTATGTGAATCTGCCTTTAAATTAAAGATGCATTTAGACTTCACCAAACTTCTTGATGCACATTAAAACGAAAAAGATTATACAAATCGTTCATCACGGTTGCCTGTCACAATTTACATAAAAATTATTTTGATATTTTTTATTATTTGTCATTGTGACATTTTTTAAATTTGTACAATTGCGGAATAAAAATTTCGGGCAGTATTGTCATTTTCATAATGTAAACTCTAAAACAACCTTTACACTAATTACCTCATTTACTCTTGTCCTATTTATGTCATTTTAACTTATTTACTTTCAAAAAATAGTGATTTGTGGCATAATAACGAATAAACAGCAGATCAAAGCAATGATTTAATTACACTTAGTTCAATTAATAAATTTCCTAATACAGACAAATTGTTTAACAATATTAACAACAACCCAAAGTTTAATTGTCAAATGTCAGTCATGATGAGAGTAAAAGGTAGTTTACAGTGAATTTTTTAAAGTGACAGAAAAGTTGACTTTTTGATAGCACTGTATTTTTAACCCCAAAAATGTAGTTGCAAATGGTTGCAATGTTACCATTTTGGAAATCTTAATTGTCGTTGAGACAATATTCTAGAATTGTCACATTTCATTATTTACTGGAAAGATTTTTTGCTTTATAATCAACGTAAACAAATTTTTGATAAGAGATTGTAGGTTTAAGGTCGCGGCCAAGCAAACGTAATGACCATTCTTCAACTTATCTATTTGGCGCAATGTAACACGTGTAAATATTTATCATTGATTACATTTTTTCTAGAATCACTAATATTACACCAAAAATTACATAAAAACCGTTTATTATGATCAAATAAATACAGTACATAAAATTAACTAAAACTAAAAATGTTACATCTGTTGAAATCTTCGCTGGCTATAATTGTGCCAAAGACTGTGTTTTCCTTCCGTTTAATCCTCTCCAAACAATTGCAATCCCAAGGATTTTTATCGATTAAATTAGTTGATTGCAACCCTCCTAAACCACTTTCCAAACAATAAAGTAAATTGTTGGTTAGGTCCAAAGTATGAACTTTGACGTCTTTCAACCAATTGGGATCCAAACTGTTGATTTGGTTGTGGGCTAACCCCAAAAACAGCAACTTTTTGGTCCTCCTGAAAGCGTGAGGGTCCACTGATTGAATCAGATTGTTACTCAAATCGATTTTTGAGACGTGGTTTGCGAAGGCATTGGCGTCAACTCTCTGGATTTTGTTATGGGAGAGGTTGACTTTGGTCAACTTTGGCGCATTTTTGAACCAAAATGGGTTGATATTAGTAAGTTGATTATGGTCAAGGTGGATAATTTCAAGATTTGTCATATTATTAAACGCTTGATAATCAATATAGTTGATGGAATTGTAACTCAAAAACAAAACTGGTACTCGCACTCCTTCAAAAATTCCTCTCCTGATTTCCCTTAATTTATTCATTTTCAAAGACATAGCTTGTTTCACCACCACATTTCTAAACGCCCCAGGTTGGATTTCCTCAATTTCGTTGTTTTCCAAAACCAGGAAATTCGCATTGTTGATGTCAGAAAGTGAGTCTCTGGCAAGAAAAGGGATTGTTGCGTGTTGGATAGCGATGTTGTTGCATTTTTGTCCACTGGGGAGGTGGGGTTTAAGTTGGTTTGTGGTCACAACGGTACTGAAAGGGATTTCTTCGTCTGATAAAGCACTATCGCTGTCGCAAGTCACCATTACATTTTTGAAAGTGAAGGCTGAATACGCGATTTGGAAAAATGTAAGGGAAAGGAAACACAGAAGTGTCTTGTGGCACATTTTGGCGGATAACTGGAGCTGTGTGGTCATCAGTTGGATTATATTGAGTGAAAATGTTTATTTGTGATAACCTGAGGCGAACTTGACATGATTGTGTGGTCACCAGAATTGGAATAACTCTGAATTCAATATTGAAAAGTAGATTGAAAACTTGGCAAATAAAAACAGAAAAAAATAACAGCAAAAATAGATTGTCGCATTTTTTTTTGAGTAGGTTATCAAGCGTTTTTTTTTTTTTGATTTTTTGCTCAGTTTTCCCAGGGAGCAATTTTTTGTTTTTTTTTTTAACATACTTTTGTGTTTGACCACCGCCAATGTTTTTATTTAATAATATATAATTAGTATTTGTGTAAAATTTTTCTTTAAAACTTCATCTACGAGTCAAGCGATTTTTATTTTGTTTTCGTTTTTTTTTTGCTCAATTTTTTCAAAACTCGGGAGCAATTTTTTGTTTTTTTTTAACATACTTTGGTACTTATTGAATTTTCATGACCATCGCCGATTTTTTGTTCAATATTATAATAATTAATATTTGTGTAAAATTTGGCTTTAAAACTTTATCTTCGAGTCAAGCGATTTTTATTTTTTTTCTGTTTTTTCGCTCAATTTTTTCAAAACTCGGGAGCAATTTTTTGTTTTTTTTTAACATACTTTTGTACTTATTGAATTTTCATGAGCATCGCCGATTTTTTTGTTCAATATTATAATAATTAATATTTGTGTAAAATTTGGCTTTAAAACTTTATCTGCGAGTCAAGCGATTTTTATTTTTTTTCTGTTTTTTTGCTCAATTTTTTTAATACACGGGAGCATTTTTTGTTTTTTTAACATACTTTTGTGTTGAATTTTTATGACCACCGCCGATTTTTTTGTATAATAATACAGGGTGCACCAGAACTCGCGCCCCAGAGAAAAATGTTATGTAAGGTAAGATATCAGGAACATGAGAAAAATGTTAAAAAAATTCTATTAAAAAAATTTCGAAGTTATAAGAGTTTCAATTTTGCACTTTGACTTTATTCATTTCTGTTGGAAAAATAATTGTTTATTGCTACAGGTTATTAAAAGAGAAAACACGGAAGCTGTATCCTAAACTGTAACTCTGTTTAATATTATTTGTGGCTTTTATTGGCAATTTTTTTACAAAGGGTCATTAATTAAACATTAATAAATAAATAATAAATTAATATTTGTTTTAAATTTGGCTTTAAAACTTTATCTGTTTAGTATAAAAGTTGCATTCTCTTCAAAATTTTTCCAACACTAATAAAAAATAAAATCAGAAATTTTTCTATATTGAGAAATTGTTATAAGAAAATTTGTCATAATAATTGACTAAATGTCAAGATAAGTGTATTTTTCTTACGACCCTAACATAAAATAAGTTTTTTCACCCTAATTTCCGCTAAGAAAGTGGACAATTACCTCCCTCCACTGTCAAAATTACATATTTTATCTAACCTCTCAGGGAAGTAAAAATTTTACCTCCTTCATAGTAACGGAATAATATGCTGCTACATTTAATATTAAAACTGGGATATCAAGAATAATTGTTATTTTTCTCTTTCTTGTAGGATTGTAAGAAAAATTATACCAGGTAAATAAAAAGTATGGAACCAAACGTTTATTGCTTAAACAATTTTTTTTTTGAAAAAACTAATTGATAAATGATAAAGATTTATCAAGAATAAAATTTTCCNTTTTTATTTTAATGCAATAGTAAAATATCTACGAGTATGTACTTTATATTTAATTTTTTCAAAATTTTGTTACATAAATTACAATTTTGACCATAACTCAAAAAGAAAACATTTCGTTCTCAAAATACGACCACATTTTTTATATTACTTTAATTTATATTAATTATTATTTTCTGGAGGCAAATTATTAAAAAGAAAACGCTTGATTTCATACTTTTTTATGTTCACCCTATAGGTATTACACTACAAGAAGTTTTTCTTTCAAAAATTGGGTTCAAATTTTAACAACATATTTGATGTATTTCTGCTGATGTAGACAAGTGACTTAGTTAATTTTTTGTGTAGAGGTCTATTTTTTAGTGCTTAACAATATAATAGTAGTTTTGCTTAATTTCAAACTGAGAAAATGTGTGTTAAAATTATTAATTTTATCTTGAAATAATTTTATTAATACTAATTAAATCTCCACCTTCGAAATTGTCTACATTTTAAATTTCATAAAAATCCGTTGGCAAATAACATAGATATTAGACCCGAAAGTCTTACGTGGGACAGCCTGTGGAAGAGAGTATATTAACGGCCCTATGGAAACAGTATAAGATATTAGTGTTAAGAAAAAGAAAGAAAAAACTTTTAGTTGTGAAATTTATTTTTTTTGGGGAGTCTAAATAAAACTCTGGCAATAATTCCGCTTTATTTAATGATGTAGAAATAAATCTGATAATAAAAAATACAAAACAGTAACACATTAGAGTAACAACTACATACAACAATTAGTCCAAGTATTCACAGTGGCAATATATTATTTACGTTTCTTTTTAAAAGCATAAAAATGTCCACATTATAAAAACATCGTCTTGTTTAACATACAATAGGTAGGTGTATTTATATGTTACTTAAAGTAACCGAGTAGGTAACCCAATTCTGGAAAACTACACCATCACGTGATTCATTAGTGAGTCATTTATGTATAACTTAAATCACGTGTTAGTGTCAAAATACATAGAGTATAATAAAAGTTAACAACATTAGATTCAAGGTTATACAAGTAGACAGCTATAATAGTGATGCTATATAATAGCAAAATTTGGTCATTTTCGTCGCAGCCAACATTATTTATACATTATATACACTTTTAGAACAATTAAATGATATAAAAATACATGAAATCGTTTACTTAAAATAGTTACGTTATCACACAAGAACACATCTTGCCAAATTTAAATCCTTACACATCCTGGCAGGATTCTCGTAGAGTCAAGAGAGGGGATTTGGCGCTTTTTTAATACACAGATTAAGGGCTTGTGAAAAAACGGCGCGGTTTTATTATTTAAGGGACTTTCGGAGATTAGCTGAACAATGAATAATTTAAAAATTTTGTTCTCTCTTTTCACATGAAAAGCGCTATCTTACAAGATAGATGCATTTACTAAGTAGGTATACTTTTATTTACAACTGCATTGATACAAAAATATTTTAGATAAATTGTGCATCCGCTCCATAAAATTTAATAATACCAATTCCAGTAAAATATCCCGAAGGATGGTTGCGGTCGATTTCGTCTCGTTGTTGTGGTCTAAGTTACGAGAATACCGAGTGGATGGCGAAAAAAGGACCATTTTTTTCCCACTGTTTGTGGTCATCATCAGTGGCGGCTCCTGGGGATAATTTGTTATCGTAGCTCTGGTGTGTCTACTTTTAAAATAAAATTTGTGAATACTCTTGTGACAAGCAACCAGCCATATGCCGATTTATTGCTATTTTTGATAATTTTTTTGTGTTTTAATAACACTTATGAACAAGAATTTGCATTTTTTGTTAGTTTTGTATATACTGTTTCTTTAAACAGTATATACTTCTTTAAATATTTCTTTAAATATAACTTAAATAATAAAAAAACACAAATATTGCACAAATTGTTGACATTTGTATTGTTTTTTATATTAGGTCACATAGCCCAATTAATATTTTGGATATTTTTCAGCAATTTTCTCGAAAACTATTTAACGTACGACAACATCGTATCGTTTAAAAAATATAACTTATATAATGAAAAAACAGAAATATTGCAAATATTGTATTGCTTTTTTATATTATTAGCCCAGTTTGTATTTTTTCTTGTTAAATTAATAATCCTGGTTTATTGTAATGTTTTAAGCACGTACTAAAATTATTTATTATTTGTTTAATGTAGAATTTTCAATTTATCCCATATCTTTAACATTGTTGAAAAATTTATTATAATAAACAACAAAATATTTCAGAAGCAAATAAAATTTTCAATGCTTTGATATTTATTTTAGTTTTTTACCTTTTTTACATCGAAACATACTTACAACTACCAATTTGAGAAAAAAGTTGAGAAAAATAGCTCATTTGAAACAGACTTTGTATTAATTAAAAACTTTTTAAATCTAATAATAGTTCTACATAATCACATAAAAATATTAATTAGCGTTCTCAAAATTTTGTTTATTAGTGTTTTTCTTTTGGTTTTTCTCTTTTGTCAAATTACTTCACTATTACTCAAAATTATTTCATTTGATATATTAATGTCAGAGCGACGTAGGTGGGAAATAGTTCTGAGAAATAGTGAAATACATTTGAAAAAAGAGGGAAACCAAAAGAAAAACACTGTAATAAACAGTGAAAAAAGCTTTGGTATTTTGTTTGGGACGCTATTTTAAAAAAAGTAATCAAAAAATAATCACATAATTATAGCTTTTATCTCTTTAGTCATGAACAGCACAATTTGATTTTTTTTTGAATCACTAAATTAATTAAGAATTTTTATCCGAAAACGTTACAAAAGTGACCACTTTTATGACTGTCACAAATAAAACTTCTAAAAATTCTATTTTGTTTATACTTTTACTATGTCGTTTACCAATGCTGTTTTGTTCGCTGTTTCAGCAATTTTTGGAAAAATACATTATAGATGATATTTTGCACTACTAACTGCACTAGTTAAGTTAACAAAGACTTCCGAAAATTTCAACACAAATTTTAATACTGACGCATAATGTTTGTTTAAAAGCGTTGTTATGACTTCATTACTTGCAAAGCGTCTTGAACATTTTGTTTATTTACTTGCTAATTATTGTGTTGCTCTTTACTCTCAATCTAAATACGTTTGTGGATAAAATGGTGTAAGCTTTTCGGGATAAAAGTGAATTAATATGTGGCCTCACTACGTTCGGAAAAATTAACGTTTGGCATCGCCAAATAAACTATCACCTTTACTCTTAATAACATAACATGTATACTATTTTTGCCAATTTTATTTTCATATACATAATCTTCTGTTAGTTAAAAATGTTTCAGAGGCACTATTTTTACCAAGTTGTAATGCAATACTTTTTTGCGTTTTTTAATACATAATTAGAACAGCAACGAGTAATTAGGAAAATGAATGTTTATGGAGGAAACGAATTTCTCTCATTAAACATATTTTGAAAATAAACTCTTTTTAAATAAATCAGAAAGCCGTCACTGGTGGTTGAAATTTTTCCTCTAAAAACAATTTCATATAAAATCAATCAAGTTTCGATGGTTGTTAGAAATCCTAAACTTGTATTTGTCATGATTTTGCAAGTGTTAATATTTGGGTTCGGTCTTATTTTTTGCTATCCCGCCAGTATACTAGTCGCCACGGAACAAGTCTCGACCTCGACCGCTCCCCGTGAGTCGTTTTTCGTAATTCAGGGTGAATGAAGTCGTAACAAGTGAGCAATTTCCTACCACATCACTCAGAAAGACTATCACACTCTGCTGATCACATAAACAAGTCCGAAAAGTCCGAACTTCTGCGCGCGAATTAGCGACGAGGAAGAAGCAAGTGCACTAGCGGCCGTTTTGAGACAGTTCGCGAATTCCTGGTAATCGACCCTTGTTATAGCACAGTAGTGGGTGTGGGCGCAGTTGGCATCGCAGCCTGTCTGGGGGTTGCTATACATCCTCACCGAGTTGGCGGTGTAGTACCTGCAACGGTTTGGAGTTAGTAAAAGGAGGAAGAACCTGCGGCGAGGAACCTGTCGAAGAAGGTGTTGTGGTTGACCGATGTCAGTTTGTCGGCCAGCTGGTGCAGCGAGTTGGGGGTTATTTCCGTGATTCCGTAGTAGGAGCTGAAGTTGTATTCGACGGTCCATTCGGCCTCTCCCTTGGAATTTGAATTAGCGCGAGACAAGTCCAGATAGTATTGGGTGTAGTCTAGCACCTGGAATGTTAGCGAATTTCATTGAAAAGGGGGCGGGGATTAATATGAAGGCATTTCTGCAGGCAAGTGATGTGGAGGAATTGCGCCGAATTCTATTCAAATATGCATTGGGGAAAAGGGAGCATTTGAATATGACAAAGGATAAATGAAAGACGGTTTGCTTGCAAGATTGAAACGGCTAAAATATCATCTTTGATATTTCTCTCGATGACAAGTGGGTACATTGCTTGTTGCGTGTTGCTCCCTCGAAAAAGCTTTTTGGAAATATTTTTACTTTTTGAATACCAATATCATATTGTGACTTTACGGTTTGGCTAACATTAAAGAAAGACATGACTTTATACATATTTTTGCAAAGGTTTTAAAATGTTACATAAAATCAGTTTTAATAAAAAAATTGGCATAAATATTACTTTCTAATGTTTTGTGGTGGTTTAAGCAATGAATGAAACTACAGGGTGTTCCAGTGAGTTGAAAAAGTCAATTTACCGTTAAATAGTAGAATTAAAAAAAAATGTATGACATTGGTAGGTATTAATCTAGTGCATCATCTAAAATTATTTTCACTCAGCATTTCCCAAAAATCAGTTACGATACAAACTTGTATTTTTTTTTAAATGAAGCACTGTGTGTTTCTTTGCATTTTTTGATGTAGTCTTTTAAAACAATGTGTTTACGCTAAACTTTTACAGGGTGTCCCCCCTGTGTGAATTAAACATAGTGACCAAACAGCACTTCAATTTTATTGTATAAAATGGCAAACCTTGGAGAATTTGGTGAGAATTACTAAAATGTTGCACTTTTTGCACTTTTTAAAAATTTATTACACAAAAACTAAGACAGCTAGAACAATTTTTTTCTTACTTTTGCAAAAAAAGTATAGAATTTAAAGCTGTAGCAATTTTTTAGAGTTTTGAATTTTTAAAGATTAATAAATTAAGAAGTTTGTTAAAAGATAAATAACTTAAAAAAACACCCTATTTTTTATATTTGCATCTAATAGATTGATAAATTGTCTATTAAAAAAATAAACTTTTAATGTCTACAATTGATAAATGAAAAAATATTTAACATTCAATATTAATTGTAGCAACAATGCCCATCAATATCTGGGCATTGTTGATACTATCGCCATCACCACGGATCATTTATCTGTTGATTTATCCAGAGATTGTAAAAATCGTTATAAATACTGAAATTCAAATAATTTTATTGTAAAAATAAAGAATAATGGTTTCAGTCACACAAATGTGATTATTAAGTGATATTTCTTCGCTCTCGTGTACAACTGTGCACTTTAATAATTTTTTAAATGCAAAAACTGTAAGTAGAGTGTTCCATTTAATTTATTAAATTTATTAAACTTTTAACAAACGCCTTTATTTTTTTATCTTTGCAAATGCAACACACTAAAAAAATGTTACAACTTTATAGCTTGTACCTTCTTTTTGCATTAGTAAAAAAATATTTCTAGATGTGTTAGTTTTTGTGTAATAAATTTTTAAAAAGTGCATGTTTTCGTCAAAAAAACGTCTTATTTTTAAAACTAAGGAAATCGACCATTAAAAGTTTAGCTTAAAAACATTGTCATAAAAATCTACATCTAAAAACGATAAGAAACATAGTGTTTCTTTCAAAAAAACACAAGTTTGTATTGTAACTTATTTTTGAAACACGCTGTATAATTGAAAATAATTTTCGGCGATGGAAATATAAGAAATTCAATTTGAAAATAGTTCAATAGGAAAAATAGTATAAAAAACACGTGTTACAGCTTCTTATTGTGCTACTCGTGCATTGTAACATTCGCCACTGCGTGGATCGTGTCACAAACTGCTTTTATTAAAATGAGAGTGTTTGTAACACTTGTTTTTTAATATACTATTGTTGCTTTTGAAAGATTAAAAATTGCAGTTTTTGGCAAATAGGTATTATTTCGGATAATGAGAGTTAATGTCAGTTTATAGGAAGTTTTTTTTCTAAAAATATATATCTAACTACCGGGTGTTAGTAGTAACGGTTTTTATTTTTTTCCCGCTGCAGGAGTAACAGAAATCAAAATCTGATTGAGGGAGCTTGTAGTGCTCGAAAAGGGCTATCTTATCTACATTTTTGTCGATTCTCCAATTAACTTCATTTGGGCGAAAACAGCCCCCGAAAAATCGAAATTTGAATTTGCCGCGTTGGCGTTACTAAGAAAGGAACTATCAAGTCATTGTTGCCAACAGAGATAGTTCGTTTTTTAGTAACGCTAACGCGGCAAATTCAAATTTCGGTTTTTCGAGGGCCGGTTTCGCCAAAATAGAGTTAATTGGAGAATCGATAAAAATGTCGATAGCCCTTTTCGAGCACTACAAGCTCTATCAATCAGATTATAATTTCTGTTACTTCTGCAGCGTGAAAAAAATGTCCATGTTAATTCCCTATATCCAACCCAAACCAATCAACAGTAAGTAGGTATAGGTGTACATAAACCAAAATAATGAAAAGGCGATTTTATTTTATGTTGGTTTTGTAATAATAATTGTCAATGAGGATAAATTTCCTTTTTTAATTAAGTTTAGATTCAGTGAGGTGTTGGAGAGTGATTACTCTGATTAGTGTTTGTTCCTTTGATTACTCTCTTTGGGTTTAATTTAGTGGAAAACTAATTGATAGGAATTTAATGATCCATTAGGATCCACATTTTAAATATGATTTAAAGTTAATTTTGTTTTTAGTTTTATAAGAAATGTTTCCCTTAGCACGGTCTTTTTTATTTTAGACTTATTAGAGACAATTAATTCTTATTATTTTGGAAATTTTATCTAGAATTTATTGTGTTTTTCAGGAGTTTTTAAATTACATACTAACAAAACTACATTTTTGTTCTTATTTGTGTTTTTGTTTAAAATAGTCCGTAAAGTAGTAAAATGTACTCATTCAAGGGTAAAGTATACATCTTGTGTAATGTCGAATGCATAATTTTTTGATCTTAGAAAAAATGTCATGTAAACCTCGGAACTAAAGTGATTTCACGGGAATTAGTGTTTTATGGTATTTTTATGGACGTTTTGTCTCGATCAATAATTTCAAACAAAACAATTTTTCAAAAAAAACTTTCATTTGTTGTGGTCTAAATCGAACTTAATTCAGGTTAAAGTAGGAATAGGAAGTTTAGTAATCTGGCAATTTACAAAATTTTGTTGACACAAAAACCTGTTAACATGTTAGTTTTTAATGCGAGTTGGAGGTTGGCTTTCTATTGGAAGTGCAACATTTCTAGAGTTGTTTATGTTTATTATTAAACATGAGAAGTTTGTTTTATTGAAGGTTGTTATTACGGTCTAAAGTTTAATTCTATGTTCAGTTAAATGAAATACCATTAGACACTATAATTATCTCTAGTTTATAATAGTGTATCAGTGTCGGTCATTAGTACATATTTTAGAGATGATATTCGACAGATCTAGTGTATTTTCTCAACTAATAATTATCGTGTAATTTTAATGATTTACACTCCTTCCGCGCAACTTAGTTTTTGCTCCATCATATTATTTAAAAAACTCGCCTTTTTTCGTCTAGATTCGTATTTTCCGAGTCATTTCCTCGCCAAAAATGGCAATCTCCCAAACTTAATAATGTTTTCAAGCCGTCTAAAAACCCCGTCGGTGTTAATCCATCCGTGTACCCCGGCGCCACGAAGTCCCTTAAAGTCCGTAAACCATTTTTGAGCGAAATTTACTCAGCAACTTCCGTCATAAAAGCTCAACTTTACATTTTAATTCTCTCTCGTATGATATAATACTACCGTGGTGTTTCTCCGTCGTAAAACTTCGACAAGTCGTCGTAAACAGCAGCTTAAAAATGACGTTTCAAAATCGTCCGCCGGACCGCATCTTAATTAAACTTCCCATCGCCATCGTGCGGAAAAATTTTATTACGACTCGTATTCTCCCGAGCAAATTGACTTGCTTTCCGTGCAGTTGGACGCGTGTACGATGAAAAATAAAAATGTGGGACTTGTTATCGACTTCATTACGGTCCTGGAGAAATCCAAAAGCGTTGCGTCTTGAATAATAGAAACGATACCGAAGTTACGATGGAATTTTACAAGTGTCGTCTACAATCGATATAAACGACGGAAATTCCGAAATCATGCATTATGCAATGTTGTGCTGTTTTTTTCTTCTCGAAGATTATTCTCTGCATATACGACGCGGGGCGCTTTTATAACGCTTGATGGAGAGCGGGAGAGGTTTACGAGGTACGACTTTATTTAAAAGCACTAACATTTAGCTGGCGAAGAACGAAAAATGGTGGCGAGTTTCAATAAGTTCGATGAGTTTAAGGAAATTTAAATAAGTTCAAAGTTTTCGCTGGAAACAAGGAACGAAAAATAAAAGTTATGAAAGTAAAAACTAATTAAAGCTTTTATAGAGATTTTTTGACTTTTTGAAATATACAAAACAAAATAATAAACTAGCAGGAGCAAACTTATTCTGTTTTTATTATATCTATAGTTTCTAATTATTTTATGTAAAATTTTATAAAACGAATATAGAAGATTATAATTATGAAATGTTACAACCTGTCACAGTTTCTCGAAAGAGTCAAAAAATAAATAGATATTATTAAGAGAACGTAAGAAAAAAGTAAGTAATACAGTAAAAAGTAACTACAAAATGAGTGCAAAAATTTGTAAACAGAAGACTACAGTAACGCAGATAAAAGAAGGTAAATTTAATAAAAGTAAAAATTCACAAACTTTAGAAAATAGTTAAAGGGTAGAATAGACGAAAATAAACGGTTACTATGTATGAGATAACTTTTTTTATGTTAAAAGCAAAAACCAACGGATTTATTGAAAGTTTTCTATTTTTCCTCAAGGCTTTAAATAAATGAAACGTTTTGTTACAACTATCTTATGGAAAGAAATCTTTTGTGAGTCATGTCTACTTTTAAAAAAGGTGCTTCTTTTAGAGCCTACATTAGAAACTTTTTAACTTCTAATGCAGAGAGGAATTTGAAATTTTGTACACGACTTAAATCAACCTGCTTGAGTTCAAATAAATGATTTTCAAAATGGCTGAACTTCAGGAACTACAAGAAATTGGCGTCAACTTTAAAATTTGAAATGGTAACCACTTATTTTTATTGCGTTTTTGAATTCTCCTCCAAACTGAGTAAAATCTACCTAGTTGTTAGTACTTATCTGTCATAGTTTTTTACATATGCCAAATTTTTGCTCAAAATTTTCATTTGCAGAGGTTTATTAAAAACATCACAGCTCTTGCGATAAATGATTATTCTTTTTGCATTTTATTTTTAATAACCAAAGTTTTGAAAAGTTTTCTAGAATTTTCAAAATTGTCAACTGCCAAATTGCAAGGCTAGTATGATTTTTTAAAAACGATAATTAACAAACAGCTATAACTCAGTTTTTCAAACGAAATGACCTTATTTTTTCAACGGCAATCAAAAGCACTTTAATTTGTAGAAGGACTTTTATCAACATGTCCTATACGCTCTTACGGTTTTTGAAATAATAACGAAAAACATGTTATTGTTTTTTATTTTTATAGTTAATCACGTAGGCTTTGGAAAAATACAGTAAAGATATGCCATAATTAATATAGATGTTCGATATGTTTACCATTTTCAAACAGTCCAAAACTCGATGGTGAACTAATTGAGGGGCTTCCATTATTTCATTTGGTTGAAGATTATAAAATTCCGCCTCAAGCCTTGCCTCAGTTCTTCGTAATTCCGGATGGGTGCTGTGTAGACTAAATTTTTAATACGTATTGATCATTTTCCAAAGCCTACGTGATGAACTATAAAAATAAAAAGCAAAAACAGGTTTTTCGTGATTACAGAACAACAGATTTCAGAAACTGTAAGAGATGGGTATAGGACATGTTGATAAAAGTCGTTCTACAAATCAAATCGATGTACTTTTGATTGCCGTTGAGAAAATAGGGTCATTTTGTTTGAAAAAACTGAGTTATAGCTGTTTGTTAATTACCATTTTCAAAAAATCATTCTAGCCTTGCAATTTGACAGTTAACAATTTTGAAAATTTTAGAAAACTCTTCAAACCTTTGGCTATCAAATGCAAGAAAAATTATTCACTTATCGCAAACGGTTCAAGAGCTGTGGTGTTTTAAATAAACATCTGCAAATAAAAATTTTGACCAAAAATTGACATATGTCAAAAACTATGACAGATAAGTACAACTACGTACATTTCAATCAGTTTGGAGAGGAGAATTCAAAAATGCAATAAAAATAAGTGGTTACCATTTAAATTTTCAAAGTTCGCCGCCAATTTCACGTAGTTCCGGAAGTTCAGCCATTTTGAAAATAATTTAATTGAACTTAGACTTGTCGATTTGGGTTGTGTACAAAATTTCAAATTCCTATCTGCATTAGAAGTTAAAATAGGCCCTAAAAGAATCACCTTGTATATTTACAAAAGAAAACTTTAAATTATGAAAAACCTAGTATTTTTATTTTTTATATTTTATTTTTAATTATCTAGTAAAAGTACAAAAATTTTGCCAATCAAAGCCACAAATAACATTAAACAAAGTTGAAATTTAGGATACAGCTTCCTTGTTTCTTCTTCTAATAGCCTGTAGCAAACAAACTTGGAAAATTATTCTTCCAACAGAAATAAATAGAGTCAAAGTGCAAAATTTAAACTCACATAACTTTGAAATTTTTGTAGATAGAATTTTTTTATTATTTTTTCCATGTTTATGGTATCTTACCAGAGGCACGAGTTCTGGCGCACTATGTATAGTTAATCTTGCTGTAGGCCGTTTGTAATAAAAGTTTATAGGTTTGTAACAAATATTAGAAAAGTTGTGTAACACATATCAAATAATCCAAGAGTGTTTTTGGAATTCTTAAAGATTAGGTACGTTATTTTAATTTTTTTCCTGCATAAAAGTGTAGCCGTAGATTTATCAATCGGATCACTCTGTTACAAAGTGCTAATAGATTCTATCCTTTCATGTAGAAAAAATCCATTTTTAAAGAAAAGTCACAGGATCAGGGCATGGAAAGAAAAGCAGGGTAAGGAAAAGCTTTTACAAAAATTGGTAGCGATTTGGTAGCGTTTCTAATTGACCTTTATTAAATATTAAAACTTCAAAAACTGATAGATACTAATCTAGTGCATCGCCTGAAATTACTTTTAACTATACAGCGTATCTCAAAAATAAGCTACAACACAAACCTTTTTTTTTAAATAAAACATATTTCTTGGCAATTTTGGATGAAACTTTTTATTACAACATGTCTTTAAAAAGCTAACTTTTTATTAATCGATTTTGCTCAGTTTTTGAAATAAGTTGTTTTTTATTATACCTGCATCATAATCCTAAATTAAAACACGCTGCAGCGTGCGTAATTTGGCCTTTATAGCACGCTGAATTTTAAAGTTGTCTAGGTAACAAGAAATAGTGAAATGTCTGGACCAATTACAACGTGAAAAAATGTGCTTAACAACGTAAACTAGTAACCGTCTCTACGAAAACGATTCACAAACAACCTTTGATAATTTTATTGCAGACGCGTCGTGCTCTTAAACCCGTCGTGCGTGTTTTGAAGGTTTGCTTATAAACTAGTATTATAATATACTATTATTTGACAAAAACATAACGTTTTAAAAATTTATAACACAAAAACTACAAAACAGCTAGAAACTTTTTTTAAAACTAAGAGAGGAAAAAAATTACTACTTACTGCAACGAAGAAAGTAAAAATTTTAAGGGTTTTTTTTTAAATCTCTTAGATGCAAAATTAATAAGTAGGGATGTTCCATTAAGAATTTTGAAAGTATTGAACAAAGTATTGAACTTTTAATAAACTTTTAATTTTTTTATCTTTACAAATGCTTTAAAGTTTGTATTGTTTTCCTTGCAGTAACAAAAAATATTCTAGTTTTCATTTTTGTGTAATACATTTTTCGAATTAGAGTATGAGTTTCTGATTTTAGTGTAAGCAAAATTGTCGTCTTAAAAAGCTAGCACCTCGGGGTTGTAGCCCATTTAGCCCTGTGATTACTATACCATTTTCTTATATTCTGCACAGAATATGTATAAGAAAATTGTATAGTAGAGCCCCAGTTATCCGGTTCCATGTTATCCGGAAGTCCGCGCTATCCGGAAACAAAATCGATTTTAAAAATTCCGTTTTATCCGAAAGAATTTGGTTCCAAACTCCGTTTCATCCGAAACTAGTCTTTTTTTTTGAAATTCTCAGAAGCGACAAAAATCTATTTTTTTCTTCGTGCTTGGAGCACACGTAAAAAAAGCGTTTGTTTTTTTTTTATAAAAAAGCTTGAAGCCTTCAATGGGATAGCATGTGTCTAATTCAATAAAAAGTGTTAATATGAACATTATGACCTCTTTAGGATTATACGAAATTTTGGCTCAAGTGGAACGGGTCTGCCAGAAATCGTGGTTCTAATGTATCTCATTCTTGTATTTAAACACAAATTGTTGAAATAATTGGTTTGTTATCATAATGTAATAGAAGTATTAAAATACACACAGGAAAAGAATATCTTTTGTAAAAAATTAGTAAACTTAAAATGTAAATAAAATTTTACTTACTCTTGTTTTTAGCATGTAGCCCACCATTAAATAGAATGAGATTTAGTTTTTTAAAAGAAGATGGAGCAAAAAAAACTGGTATAATTTGAGATAAGTTAAAGACAAGGAAAATATCAACATTAATTTTATCTTACAAATTTACAATTTAGAAAATAAGTGACGTTGATATAAGATGAAGAAATTTGTCTTCATTCGTCAATGATTTCACTATGTAGAACTTTTACATAATTTTTTTGTATAAATAAATTCAGCATTTTAAAATAGTGGATTAGAACAATATTTAAAGATTTGCATTGTGTGTTTTTTGTATTTTTTCTTTACTTTAGTGTCAAAACAAACAGTGAAAATATGACATAATCAATACTCACTTATGAACTTAATCTCAGTTTTAAATATTCAGAAACCGGAAACTTTCCGTGGGAAAACTTTTCAACGTTCTCTTGTATAGAAGTAGAAATACAAAATTCAAGCACTTGCTGTGTAATAATGCACGACCCGACTTTTCCCAATATAATCCATGAAAGTCACGCTATTTTTATCTATATTTTACACTTGTAGTTTTCACTAATGGTATTACGTATTAAGATTGAAAATCTGCATCTCATTACACGTTGTAGAATGACGTATCTTTTCGCTTTAATTTTAAATAGCTTGTCTTGCTTTAAAGCTAATTCTATCCAACTCATCGCATAATTGAAGCACTATCTCGAGTGCATGTGGCGGCAATTATGCAAATAAGCATTCTGATAAAGTAGTCGTTTCTTAATTTTGAATAATGCCGCTACCGGGGGGAGACTCTATGAATATTTCAGCTTTTTTTTTCAGACTTTGTGATTGATGGAAAAATTACCTGGCCGGTGTCTTTGTCGAATTTATATATCCTCAAACCGGGGTTGTTGGCGCCATCTGTGGTCCGTTTCGGGGTGATGGAGGGGGCGAGGAGGGCCCACGACACGGGCCGACCTAAAAACCAAAACATTAAAATCACCAAACTTTTCGATTCGCGAAACGAATAAAATTTGTAAGGTTTAAAAGAAGTACTATTCTTTCGGGGCCACAACAATTCGTTCTTGAGTGTGAAATTTAATCGGTCTTCGTTTACACCTTTTATTGTAAATGAGAGTGAAATTTCGTAATTGGCGTCTTTAGCAAAGTTGCTATCGTAATAAAAAAAACTTTTGATCAAAAGCACGAATTGAACCAAACAACATGGGCGTCGATATGTTTTGGGGGAAATTGTTTTGAGATTTTCATATTTTTTGTTTCAGATAAGTTCAGTAACGAATATTATCTAATACTATGTACAGTGGCGTATTGAGCTCTTAATGGGCCCGTGTTCCATCGTGGTTGCACCATATCCCTTCCTACACCCACCGTGTTAAAATCAATAATTTTTCAATGTTTTTATAATATCATTAAAAAAATATCAGGTGAATAAAAAGTATGAAACTAAAAGTTTTTTTCTTAAACTGTTTATTTTTTTAGAAAAGATAGTGCTATGAAAATGTGAATATAAAGAATAAGATTTTTCAAATTTTTTGTTTTGTTTTTGAGTTTTACAATTTTTTTATTTTTTTACATGGCAACCCACTATAAAACCATTTTTCTCATAAAAGTAATGGTCTAAGGATTACACTATCTACTTTATATTTAATTAAAAAAAATTACATAAATTTTGAAAAAAAATCGCATATCTCAAAAACAAAACAAAATTTCAAAATACGATCACCATTTTTTATATTACTTTAATTTATATCAATCATTATTTTCTGGAAACAAAAAAAACCGCTTGGTTCCATTCCTTATATTTACCATTTAAGAATAATAATTTGTAAAATAATATAAAAAGACACTAAAATTTAAAATAATATGAAAAAATTAATAAATAAGCCTATTAAATATAGGGGATATTCCGGCTTAACCCCACATTAGAGGTACTGGAAGTTCTGATAATGATATTAGTCTAAAAATTTGTAGCGGGTCTTTTTTAAAATTCGACGTCGAAGTTGGCTTTGCAAAATTGATTGTGAACGAACCCACCAAGATTACGAAGATTAAGATTATGAAGATGGTTAATTTTGTGCATATTACTAAAATTATAATTGTAAGGTTATGTTGGTTTGTTTATACAGGGTTATTCATAAATATGAAGCAATATTTGAACCTCAAAAATGACCCATAAAATGATGTTAATTTAAATAATAACTCGTGTTCTATCTCTACTGATAAGAATTTTACAGCCCTCGGAATGTGGGTATGGAAATTTGATTTTTTTATAATAACTTTGAAACTATTTGACCAAATATTATAAAATTTGGAACATTTCGCTGTGACAACATACCCTTTGAACTGATAATCACAAAAACCGGATACATCCACTCAATTTCCGGTTCCAGCAGTTGCAGGTCACATTTTCTGTGTTTTTCCATTTTTTTGCTCTCTTAACACCAATTTTTTATTGCCTAAATAGATAGTGTAATCAATTTCGAATAAAAAACGCATAACCTTTAATACCTTTAAAATGGACCGTTTCAAAGATATTTTAATTTAAAGTAAGGACTGCACCACGCTGAAATCAAAAAATAGGGATTTTGAATAAGTGGTATCCACGGCAACCAATGACCATGGTCACATAAATCCCTACCAGGCATCTGTTAACTTTGACGATAAATTTTTGTGAATTTTTTATAAATTAAATGCTACGAGATCGATTTGGACTTATGGTAGATTACGTTTGGAGTCTGAAGTAAACTCTTTTATTAAATATTTTCACTTAATCGCCCAAGAATCGACCAATGTCAAAGTTGACAGATGCCTGACAGCGATTTGTGGGACCATGATCATTTGTTGCCGTGGATATCATTTATTCAAAATCCCTACTTTTTGATTTCACCGTTGTGCAGTCCTCAGTTTAAATTAAAATATCTTTGAAACGGTCCATTTTGGGGGTATTAAAGGTTATGCGTTATTCGAAATTGATTACTCTATCTATTTGGGCAATAAAAAATTGGTGTTAAGAGAGCAAAAAAATGGAAAAACACAGAAAATGTGAACTGCAACTGTTGAAACCGGAAATTGAGTGGCTGTATCCGGTTTTCGTGATTACCAGTTCAAAGGGTATGTTGTCACAGGGAAATGTTCCAAATTTTATAATATTTGGTCAAATAGTTCCAAAGTTATTATAAAAAAATCAAATTTCCATACCCACATTCCGAGGGCTGTAAAATTCTTATCAGTAGAGATAGGACACGAGTTATTATTTAAATTAACATCATTTTATAGGTCATTTTTGAGGTTGAAATATTGCTTCATATTTATGAATAATCCTGTATGTTCATGGTGTCTTCACAACGAACTTGTCACCCCAACTGCGACGTTGAATTAAAAAAGAAACGTTACTTATTTGTATTAATTGTATTAATTGTAATTGAAATAGAAAACTATGTTTTTTATAGCGTTTTTGGATTGTTCGAGCTATTCTATAAGAGTTATCATCAATCTCCCTATACCCAAATACAATAGAAGTCCTCTATAACGAGTCCCGGTTATAACGTAGAATAGACTATAACGAGTAAATCGTCTGGTCCCTTGCCGTTTTGTATACTACTACTCTATGTAAAACTTTCCCTCTGTAGCGAGTATTTTTGAGGTGAATATAATAAAACTTTTATTTTGTCCAAGATCGGTAATAGCGAGAAATTCTGAAAAATTTCCGAAACAGATCGGTTATAATGAGAGTTCCTAGAAGAATTAAAAATCCTGCGAGTCTCCATTACATATTGTGTACTAGACTTTTTTTGGACATGTTTTTGCGTGCTAATGGTCATATTTTTCTCACTTTTTCAGTCTTGAATAACTTTTCAAGCGTTTTTTCTTCAAAAAGAAAAACATTTTCTACCAAAGAAAAAATATCAATAATAAAAGAGTTCGCAAGTGGTAAAAAACAAGCTGTAATCTGCAAAAAGAAAAATTTAGCCAGTTCTATATTGGCAAAAATTTTTAACAACAGGGACAAGATTACGAATTCAACTGGTGAATTTTCGTCAAAAGTGAAGAAATTACATACTGCTAAAAATGCTAAATTAGATAAAACCATTCTTACTTGGTTCAAAGTGAATCGCGAATCCAATGTGTCCATAAGTGGGCCCATATTAAAAGAAAAAAGCAGAACAAAACTTTTATTATCTATGACTGTTTATAGCGAAAATCGGTTATAACCAGCAAATACGTTGGTCCCTTGAATTCGCGTTATAAAGGGGTTTTACTGTATAACCGTTTTTGAAGTTTTTAGACTTTTGGAAATTTTTAAATTTGAACCTTCCTCTTCAAAAATCTATCTAACTCTGCAATTTTTAACTATTATGAAATCGTATTTTGGCATTTAAAAGAGGAATGATCGATCTTTCTTTTGATGGATTTATAATTAAAAAAATTATTAACGAACACTCAAAATTTAAAGTTGCGTATTTTTTTTTTTTAATGAAAGGCTCCAAATTTTTTTCATGAAATGCAGGGGAATTTAATTCAGTTTAACATTTATACCTATGAGCTCAAGCAGACATAACAATTTTTTAGTCATCAGAACCTAATTTTAACCGCTAACATAAAAAAATAATAATTTTGGACTGCTCAGTACGCCACTGACTATGTACTATTTTCAACTAATTTAATAACACTTTCAAAAGGTTCGTTCTATGAAGAAAAGGGGACTGTTACACTTTCTTCCGTTAATGCCACGTGAGGTGTGTGCATATGTGATTAAATTTGGTGGCCAAGTTGGCCATAAAAATTCATCTCGTTTCGGAAAGTTATATTCAGCAGCAATCTGTTCTGTCGGCGTTATTATAAAGTCGTTTGTGTTTTCTTGTCGGTTTTTCAGCTGCTGTTAGTAAGAAATCGACATCTAAATGATATCCGATTCCCCTTCTTACTTACAAACTACCACAAAAAGAACATTTTAAGAAAGAAATTGGATCAGTTTTCTCGAGGCGTCAAGTTGCATTCCAATCTTATTTTCAGCAGCTTTGAAAGCGCGACTTTTCTCACACCATGGTTCGTACTCGTGCAAATTTTCTTATTTAAATCTACCCATCTGTGACACTTAATGAAGTGTCACATTAGTGAAAACTTGCGTTCATTAACTCGTTGAATTTTTGACAAATTACCCGTGAAAATTAATTTCCAAGTCGCCCAACTCGCTCAAAACAAAAGAATAAATATCTTTGTTGTTTTATTTGACACGATAGAGGTGATAATCAAAAGTTAGGACGTGAAAAGTTCCGGAAATAAAAAAACTTTTTAAATCTCTTTATAACGCTTGTCGATATCTCACCGGATCGATCAGGGGTATGACCGGAAACAAACAATCGATGGACAAACGGTGCGCACCGTTGACATTTGAAGGAAAAGAATGATGTTTGCATTTCGTCGACCATAAACCGTCAAACAACCAAAAGGAAATTTACTTCGAAATAAGTTTTCAACTCGTATTAAGCTTCTTTAAAGTATTTAGATACGGCCATTTTGGGAAATTTAACAACGGAAAAGTTTATTATCGCCGACTGTTTCACCTGAGCTTGGAAAAATTATATTTGACAAGAAAGGACAAGAATAAGAGAGAAAACCTGTTGATTTTTTTCTTTTTTTTTGCTTCCTTTACCGATAAAATCATAGTTTATAGTCTTTAAGTTTTTGAAGTATGGAAAATTTGAAAACGAAAAGCTTGTATAAATTATCATTATCACTGACTTTAAAAATTAAGAAGCTTTTATATGCATTGCAAAAACATTGTCTACCCTTATATTCCATTGTGAAGTTAATTTGGTAAAGTTACAATTTTTCTTTTGTTGTGGTAATTCTACATATTAGATGATTCATTTGTGGCATACAGCCATTAATAATATTGATCAGTTTGGATAATTCTGTTGTAATTAATGCTATTATAATAATGTAAACACGGTTTTAGTAAATCTTGTATCAAATTTTAATCAAAATGCAAGGTTTTTTTCTCTATGTACAGTAATAAACTAATTTTTTATGTTAAAAGTGGAATAAAAAAACATTATTGAAGGAAATAATTTTATGTTTGAGACTTTGATTCATACTAGTGTATAACATTTTCTTGTTGGGAAAGTTAGAATTAGAATGCAATATATTTTTTCTTAATTGCAATCAGAAAATGACAAATACATTTTAAAATTAGTAATTTACAAAGATTTTACATTTATAGCACACCGTGATTACTTTAGCAATTTACAAAAGGAGATAAATAAAAAGACTTACTTTAAAAAATCGCAATATTGTTTAGAAATGAATAGAAAAGGTGATGGCTTAAACTGTAAAGCTACCTAATAGAGAATTTTTTATGTTTTTATGAAACTTTCATTTTATAAAAATAAGTTTTTGATAAAAACATTTTCTTTATTTCAAGAATCCTTCTTATTAAAAATAAATTGTAAATTTTGTGTTTCTAAGTATTAATCAAATACTTATTCTCGTGTTATTTTAATTTTAAATGAAGCAAAAATAATTAATAGTACATTATATTATAAGTGATAGAAATGCATCATTATACGCGAGTGAGAATTTTGACCGACGAGTCCGCTTGCGCACGAGTGGGACACTTCTCACGAGTTTCATTTGGCATTTCGATCACGTGTGATATACGACGTTTTATCTCACAGGTGCAACTATCCAAAAAATGAAGTTTCATTCAAGTATAAAAATATAATAGTAAATTTATATTTATTTATTATGAATTTTAATTTTTATAGGTATAATTTTTTTAACATTTTATTTGTTGTCTAGGACATTGCCCGATGACACAGTGTCACGAAGGTGCGCGACTTTCCGGACAATTGTTTTATTTCTATGTTTTTAATACCAACTATAATCGAAAAAAATATGAAAATGTATCTATAATTTAGAACTATTTGATAAAATAATATATTTTTTTGTGCTATGAATTTTAAAGCGTAGCATTTCTAGCAACACCGGATGTGTTAAAAAAAATTGATACATTTACTAACAAAGACAAGAATGAATATTATTACTTAAATATTTACTTTTTGAAAAAAAGAAGTAAGTTTAGATGCTATCAGCCGGGGCGACTTGGACCGAACAGCCCTGTATATAAGAGTTCCGTGATTGACACTGACTGACAGACAACGCACAGCCACACAAGCTAGAAACATGAAATTTGGCAGATACGTTTCTTAGAGGGTGTAGACTGTAGAGGTTCGCTAAGAAGGGATTTTTCGAAAATCGTTCTTTAAAGTGGTGAAATAGGGTTTTAAGTTTATCGTGTGCCTTCGACAATTCTCGGTAGTTACTCGCTGTTCATCGTGCGCATGCATGAGATAGGGAAGGAGTTGTCAATTTATGCGCTGTATTTGCTTTTTAATTATTTGCGCGAGCGAGGTGGTGTTCTACACTTCGCTTTTTACATAATCAAAAAATTGTTTATCTGATTTTTATTCTACATTGTTTATTTATTCCACTTCTCTTATTATTATTATTATCTATATAGGTATATATGAGAGTTCCGTGAAAATTAGGTAACAAAGGATTTTTCAAAAATCAATTACTCAGAGGATGAAGTGGGGTGTGAACTTTTAAACGAACTTTGGAAAATTTGTTCCTTAGCGGTTGTGAAAGTGCACTAAGACGAGAATTTAAAAAAGTAATAAGTATACTCCCTTAATAAATTGAGTAAAACGGGGTGTATACGTTTAAACGAAAATAGAAACATGAAATTTAGAAGATATGTTTATTAGAGGGTGTACAGGTCCGCTAAGAAAGGATTTTTTAAAAATAAATTTTTGCGGAGGCGAAGCGGGGTGTAAACATTTAAACGAAGATAAAAACAAAAAATTTAGGAAACATATTCTTTGGGGGGAGTAGAGGAACAGTAACGAAGGTTTTTTTTGAAAATATATTTATATGGGTTGTCAATACTTAAACAAAGATAGAAAATAAAATTTGGAAGATATGTTCTTTGGCGGTTGTAAAGCTGCACTAAGACGAGATTTTTAAAAATCAGTTTCTAAGGGGGTGAAATGGGGTGTACACGTTTAAACGAAGATGAAATTTGGAAAATAGAATTCTTAGAGGGTGAAGTGCACTAATCAGGCACTTTTCAAAAACTAACCTATAACGGTATGAAATAGGGTGCAAATATTTAAACGAAGTTATAAACATAAAATCTAAAATTTTGACTTTTGAGGGTGTAGTCGAAAATTCAACGAATTGAAACGGGGTGTAAGCGTTTGTAACGTGCTTTCATCATTTTCTTAATAATCGGCCCTCTGCTTCCGCATTGTTTTGAGTTGATGAATCAAGAAAAAAATAGATAAACAGACTAACTTTACATTCCACCTTTGAAATTAACAAAAGTTTATATCGAAAATATACGTGGACGAAGTCACGGGTGCAAGCTAGTAGAGTCCGTTTTTCTAAGAGGTACACACCAATATAATGGCCCAGTAACACATTTAAGACCAAATTTGTAATGCGCATGCTTGACGTAGGGGTTGCATGTCATCAGTAGCGTACTTTAATTTTCCTTACACTTACCCTTACCAAACGAAAAAACGGCCATTAGCAACCATAAATCAAATTGTTTTTTTTTTCGTCTTTTGTTAATTGTGTATTTTGGTAAGTACAAACATTTTTTTTTAATATTTCAAGCTTTCATTTGGTACGTAAAGAATGTGATGCAAAATTATTGTGAACATTGTTAAATCTTTTATTTTTCAAAATTAAAATGTTCAATAATTAATAACAAATGTACCATGGTTAGCTAAAAAAAATCATACACAGATGACGAACAACAGATCCGAAAATTATAAATTTGAGTTGTGTAAATATCGCTTTTTTAAAAAAGGTTATGTATGGATAGGCTTGATAGGACGGACTCAGATGTTAAAATCGCTCAAATTTGAATCTTCTCTAAAAGTTCGCGCAGATTCTCGATCCCGCCCATGTACCTCTTAAAAAACGGACTCTATGTTTATAATTATAAAGTGGTGTGAAGAAAAAGGAGTTCTAAGATTGAAAGTTTGTGTGTAGAGCGTTTTATTAAAAATGTTATCATCTTACAAATAGTTTTTTTTTTATAAATGTCTATGAAGACAATTTTGGCCGTGCTGTAAAACTGTCACTTTACACACGTGCGGGCGTAAAATACCCAGATGTCAATTGTACGTTAATTTGACATTTACATGTCAGGAGGCCAAAAAATTGATTTCACTAAACTGCGGCTAGAAATAATTAAAAAAGTCCATTCAATGAAACAGTTGTGAGTCTCGAGGCTATTTGTGCTTGCTACTATTTGCTTTCGATTCATATCCTCAAACTGATTGGTCGAGCGCCATCTTTGTGCAAACATTTTCTCATATCAGACGATTATCTCCTCGAATGCCTGTTTGATACCTTCACAAATCGTCTCTGCTGCATTAAATATAAGACTGCGGTTGCAAGAAGGCCACCGTCTGGCATAACACGTACAGGCCGACTGTATTACCACTAACAAGTTACGAGCTTTCCCAGTCTTAATCTCCTAGAAGGGTCTTCTGTATTGCGAACATCGTTTACACAGTCCAAACAGCATTAATGTGTACTTAACTAGATCCTTAAGACTAACTAAGTTCTCTAATGACCTCAGCTGCTGCCGCTAATACCATATTGATGCATGGCTGCGGTTAAGACGGGGAACGACGTTTTATTTAAAGTGACTAAAAGCGGCCTTTTCAGATGATATTACAGTGATAAATTGCAGGGAGGAAAAGTGCTACTTACCGCTTACGCCGTAAATGACGCGGAAAGTGTCGGAATGGAGGTGGCCGAAGAACTGGCCGACGATTATGTCGGCGTATTTTCGCACCAATTCGAGATACTTCTTATTGTGGTAATCCGTGTAGACTGAATGTGCCGGCGAAAAGCCCCTTTGACGTTCGTCAGAGCCCGGAGGCATGTGGCCGACGAGGTAAACCTGGAATAAAGGACGTAGAAAATCTACTGTTGGGAAAAAGCTTCAATCATTGATTGGATGGATACGAGATAACGGCTGGGTTAAATCGTAAACGAAATATACACCTATCTAGCAGACTAGACTTATAATTTTATTTTTCCGTAAAAATTTATTCAATTGATAAATTCAATGATTAAATTTTGGATAGTATTCTGGACTTTATACTTATAACACCCGAAAAAATTATAAGTAGTGTGACTATATTTTTTTCAATTTTTTTCTAACATTGATAAAAATGCCTGTATTCTATGTAAGTAAAAAATATCGCCAAAATTCTCCGCCACGTTTTTTTTTATTTTTGTTTTCATATTTAAAGAGTGGTCGAACTCATATTCACGATATAGACTGAACTAAAAAAATGTACCTATTAAACCTGTTCTAATTTTAAACTACACAAAATAGGACACTAGATAATAAATTGAACACAAAAAAATATTTTCAACAATTTCGATTTTTGTTTTTTATGAGGAGTAAAGTCTTCCTTGTGCAAAAACCTGCAGTCCTCTATCATTGTCGAAATCCATATACAGGGTGTGTCAGAACTGGCGCCCCAGTGAAAAATTTCAAGTGATAAGATACCAGAAACATAGAAAAAATGTTTAAATTTCTATCTGTCAAAAAAGTTTGTTTTTTGGCATTTGACATTTTTATGTCTACTTAATGATACTGATAATCTTGTATATGTTTATTTATAATTATTTAGTAAAAGTACAAAAAATTTGATAATAAAAGCCACAAATAACATTGAACAGAGTTACAATTTGAGATACAGCTTCCTTGTTTCCTCTTTTAATAGACTATAGCAAAAAAAACTTGAAAAATTATTTTTCCAACAGAAATAAATAGAGTCAGAATGCAAAATTTAAACTCTCATAACTTCAAAGTTTTTATAGATAATTTTTTTTTACATTTTTTCATGTTCCTGCTCAGTAGTAAAGGATGAAATTTAAATTTATTTCCCATAATGATGCCCTAAGTTAACGTTTTTTTTTTTAATTATTAATTAAAAAGGTGATGTGTTGGAAGTTTTTTTATTTTTGGCGTGTTTTAAAAGTGGTACCAAAAATTATGCATGTTAGAAGAATCAGGTCGCTTAGTGAATTTTTAATATCGAATGAACAAATTTTTAATTTATTTATTACCGGAGCCGATTTCAAGGTTTTGCTCCATTCAGGAGTCCTCATTTAATAAAAATAATAATTCGTTAAGCGACACAATTAACATATAAATTAAGAGCGAGCCGATGATGAGAAAAATAAAAGAAAAGAAAGAAAAAATGTATAGTTTTTGCTCGGAACAGCAATTTACGATTATAGTAAAAAAAAATTTAATATAATCTTGAATATAACTCTTATAGGAGTAATTAGCGCTCTAGGATCTCTGTTATAAAACACAATTAGTCAAACACTCAAAAACAATCACAACAGTACTTGAATTTGGTTTTATTATGACTTTTCTGTTTACTTACTTCTACTTATTTACTCGCATAAAATTAAAAATTTACAATTACAAGGTTTTATCAATCAGTGATACACAGTGAAACTATGACAAACTAGTGTTGTGCTCTTTTTGTGAGTTTACATTTTGTAAGAATTATCAGATTCTATTATTGCTTTTTATTAATTATATTATTAATTATAATAGAAATGCAAACATTTGTTGTTTTATTTGATACATGCTGTAATCAAAATTTCAATAGATAAAAATTAATAACGAATAAAATTACGAGAAAAATAAAAATACGACAACATATGAATTTGTGTTTGTTTATAATAATAAATTTATTTTGTGACCATTAATTTTTTTAAATGGGAAATGGAAAAACAAGGTTTTTTAATTTCAGGATGGCAGTGTGTTTTGAAAATAAAGTAAATATCTTTAAAGAAATTTTCAAAAAAAAAATATTTGAAATCTATGCCGACTGAATCAAAATCTATAAAACCGTGTTGAAGTGTAATTTGCAACAAATGATTTCCTTTGTTACTACAAAACTTTGCTCTAAAAAACAAAATGAAATTGGTAAACATTAAAATATACGTTTTTCAGAAAGACTTTATTCCCATTGTATTATACCAAAAAATCAATTTGCTGCTTCGATTTGTTGTATTTTCCAAATAACGAAAGTATGTTTCACTGTTTTTTACCTCTATCATGCTTCCCATTTTAATTTTTTGTTTTTTCTTTGTTTTGCACCGATTTTAAAACATTATTCATGATAGAGGGATAGATACATTATACACATAGCAATTCTCTCTTGATTTCAAATTTTTAAAATAATTATAACTGAATGTGACCTTGAAGTAATTCTGTAGCGCTGCCGTTTGCAAAACTTAATAATAGATGGCAGTGAAATGGCACTACATCAGGCTAGCATTATTTTGCTATCTATTTCAAACTCTTGAACTACAAAAAGTTATATACGAGTAGAAACTATACAATTATACAAATTATACACCTAAGGTTAGTGTGGAAAGAATGCTATCGCTGTCTAACAAATCTATCTAACTTAATTTGATCTCTATTTAAAAAAAAAACAACATATTTGATTTCATAGTCTGTGTCATTGGTATTGTTAGTTGCGACAAAAACGTATTTAAATAAGTCGAAAAATTAGTGTGAGTGGGCATTATTATTATGATTATTATTATCATTATTACTATGATCTATGAATCAAACTTACACGCTACTACTATAAAATTTTCAGGTCTAGTAAAAATACAGTGAGTTATTAAATGATCTCATTCATATCATACTCGTAATAAAATCAGTTCTTCAATGTTTAAACTTTAAGCAAATATTTCCTAATGTTGGTAATTAAATCATGCAAATTCTGATTTTGGATTTTTACTTTTGCTTCTTGTCAGTCAAATATTGCAAAATTTTATTGAAATATTGACTTAAATGTCAATTTTAATCTGAGAAGATATTTTGAAAAAAATATTTAAAATTTTTAGTTAAGTAAGTGTTATTAGAAGAGTAAATTAAATTAAATTTTAATTAGATGTACAAACGCCGATAATGTAATTATTACTAATAAAATTTAATTTAAAAGCTCCATTGCTCCGAATAATGCCAAACATTTATTACATTTATTTAATTACAAAATTGCTGACTCATCGTACCATCGTAATACCACCGCTGCTTGAATAAAAAGTAGTGTGGGTTGCGCAAGTAACTCATTTTTTAATGATGGTTTAGAAGGTAAATTTAGCTTTTGGATTTCAATTTAAAAACGTTTTTGAGCGAACTCAAAAAAACACATCGCCATTTCTGTGCAGTCAGTTAGTCATGAAGCCTTTGAATAAGTTTTTTATTACTTCAATCCCGTTTGTGTCATTCGCTTCAGCAAATTTTCATAACTCTTTGCTCGATTTAGTTATTTTTTGTAAAAACAGTTCATAAATAGGAAGCGGAAAGCAATATCTATCGATGCGGACGGCTATCACATTTATGTTTGTGCTTTGCTTGGCTTGGGATCAATATGGACGAGCCACAAAGGACCTGTTCGGTGCACAGCTTGTGATTACTGGATCCTAGCCAAGCGAGAAAAAGTGCTAATCACCACATCTCATAAAAGAAATCACCATCCAAAATCTCCACCCGGAAACACCAAGTCAACGGTGGTTCGTGTCTTCCTGATATACTTTCACAAAAGTGGATGATTTATTTAGGAGAAAGTTGATTTTTTCGGCAAATCGAATCAGATATTTTAAGAGGCGATCACTTTATCAAACTTAAATTGTTTATAAAAATTGTCTTTTAACATTTGCCAGACCCAAATCCCACAAACCTGCTTTTCCTCGAAGTTGTATCGGAACTTTCTCGCTCTCGTATATGTTTCAAATACCTCCCCTAGGCGATGCCGTGCTCTTGAAACTTTCAAGGGTGTTCACCTCCCACGAAACAAATTGATTAGTGTCCAGAGTCACATCGTGAAAATCGTCAAATGCTTGTGCGAAAAATTTCCCCATGGTTTATCTCCAACAACCGTTTTCTTTAAATCTCGAGTGGAGAGTTTAAGTTTGAGTGAAACGTTTGGTAACACGAACCGAAATCCTTGCCGAGGAATTCATAGTAGAGGCCTTCAGAATGACAAATTGGACATCCACGAAAGCCAGACAAATCCCCTTATGTCCTACACGAACTGACATAAAAATAACTATAGAAGAGTCTTATGGTGATAGAGGGAGAAAAGTTGCCAAAGTGGCTTGTACTAGCGGCGACGGTGCTGTAATGACTGCTATTAAAATAAGCCGATCAAATGTCGGAAATGGCGTATGTAAAAGGCACAAAGACCCTTGAGGGGTTTGGGCAAAAATGCCGAACACGATCAAAGAAAATTATGTAACCGATAATAATTCTGTGACAACAATTCGAAAATTTGAGAGTGTAAATTGTACTAGCCCGGCGCATCCACCATTTTTTAAAATTAGTAATTTTTGTTTTTAAACTCACTTTTACTTCAAATAACATATACTATTTTATCCGCAAACGATTCAGATGAAGAGAAAAAAGCAACACAATAATTTTTTATAATAAGATTTTAGAAAGTGTTGAGTGTCTTTAATAATGAATAACTAACGTAGTTTATAGAATGCTGATAATCCACATGTACCTTTCCAGAAAATGTTGAAGCACTGAAAGAAACAAGAAAGAGAATAGTAAATAGTAAAAGAGAAATAGTAAATGTCAGGTAAAAGTGAAAAACGCTTAGGCAAAAAACAGTGTTTTTGCCACATGTCTGAAAGGTAAAATTTTTACTTGTGTCATTTAGTCATAAAAGTGTCATTTTTCCGACGTTTGCGGATAAAATAATTTTGCATTTCTTACAAATTCACAAAGTTGTTAAACATTTGGGTGACATTAAAGATATCAAACATTCGCTCATTTCTTTAGAAATCATAAAACCTGAATTCGTTACGTTTTCAAGAGGGCGTCGAACGATCCGGACAAACGAGGCC